CCTGACTTAGGTCACTCCTTTTGCCTCCCTTGAGCCCCTGATGAATCCCAAATGCTTCCAAAAGCTCCATGTGATGCTCCAATACCTAAAAGGGACTCATGTATGCAAAATGCAACCTAAACATAGCTAAAACCTATTCTACATGATGAAAAGGAATGCAAAAGAGTAGATAAAACAATGCAATAATGCAAGACATCAAGTGTGACAAAGGCATAAACGAAAACCCTAATCAATAGGAACACTCTCCATTTGTTGAGTGAGCGTTTCATCTAGGGTTGACGAGAGTAATTGCCTCTGGTGCCCTTATTTGAAATATTTAAAGCTCAAATATCTTCACCTTTTTCTTTTAATTTTATATGTCAAATGAAAAATTATAAAATTAAATTGAAAACGTTAATATTTTTTATTTCATTTATAGAATTTGACGAATGAAATATTTTATCCATGGGTTCACTGATCTATAGGGGGGTTTTTGTTTAGTTTTGATCGTTTGGAAATGATTTATTTGAGATTTTCATTAAATGATGAAGGATATAAAAATTAATGGGTATAAGTGATTTAAAATTTTTGAATAAGGGCGTTTGAGGTGATGACTCGGTTGACGACGACAGTGTGGGGGATTCAGATATCTGTTTTGAAAAAGGGCATTTGTGTAAATGTAGGCTCGTAGGCTCGGCCCAAGAAACCAAAAAGATGTTAACCCAAAGAAGAAAGCTGATCCAACGGTGGAACAAAATCAGTCAATTAAATTGAGAGCCCCCTATGCTTCAACGAACATCGTTTTGATGGCTGACTCACTTCCTCTGTTGCCTTGTTAGATTGTATTATGCTGATAACATTCGCAACATTGTCCTGCACAACACACACACAAAGAACATGCAACAATATATATATATGCTATTATCACAAAAGCATGCTCAATGTAGCTCTGTTCTAAAATTGCTAAGTCTTGTAATTACCCGCCAAGCTCCAAGCTTTGTTTTAAGAGATTGCCATTGCTTTTATCCCAACTCACTCCACACAGCGACTGAAAATCTGAAAGCACTATTAGAATGTCTGCGACTTTTATATAACCCGAAAGATAAAGCGTATAAAACTTGTCTGATGATTATAAATTGGTTCGTCTGATCCATCTGACAATCAACTAGTTTCGCAGATATTTTGCCTTGACCACCCACAATTCAACCTCCTCGGCATTTACCTGTACCCAAAATAGATTTTTTATGAGTCTGGGAAACAACGAATAAGGTTTATCAAAGTTTTATGTCTTGTTTAAGCAAACGACTTTACTTGTATAATGTTCTTGATTGAGGCATATGGTATTTTTTGCCAGATTCAGCTGATACCAAGTCCACTAGTGACAACATTCTCATCTGCGCTACACAGTCTTCCTCAACAAGAACATATAGTTAATTTTTATTTTTACCACTGCCTGGTAACCTTATATTGTTACCATGAGGAAGTTGGCACAGTTTTGACCCTCTGTTCTAAAGTAGTCAAGGCTTCCTCTTATACCGGCCGGGATCTGCTTCTTCTCCTCCTCCCGTCTTGTTTTTCATCTTCTGTTTCTGTAGTGATAGTGGGTTTGTTTCTGTAGTGATAGTGGGTTTGTTTCCAAAGATGTATGTTTTCTTATACTAGGCTATCCCTAACATTTGTGTTCCATCACATGATATGCATGCATGTCCTAATAGAATAGTACAAAACAGAAGATGATATGCAAGATTGCAGAAGACATTATTCATTCATTGGAAAATGAAGGTATTTGTTTATTTTTGGGATCTTATATACGCAAAAATGGTATAGACCAACAAAATTAAACATGGGTTTAAGAAAATTGACTATCATCTCAAATATCTTGTCAAGGTGAAAGAGGTCCTCTCTCTGACTGGCTTGCTTTCCATAAGTTTGAAGTCTCTTGACTCTCAGATTCTGACACCATTACTGCTGGTAAACCCAAAAGAGGCTTAGGTGGAATGTGCAAAGCCTCTAGACTTCCCTCTAACATTTCAACGACCTTGCTCATTGATGGACGGTCAGATGGGTTTGTTTGAATACACCATAAACCCACCAACACCATTTTCTTCACTATCTTATCTTCTTCCTCGGTCACTTTATCTCCAAAAAGTGTCATGGAATCTTCCCTCTCAAGATCTTTATAAATCCAGTCTGGAAAATAGATTGAACTGCTGCTACTGTTGGATCTAGAGTTTTCAGGTATTTCTCTATTCTTTGCTCCGGCAATCTCAAGAACCACCATTCCATAACTGTACACATCAGACTTATGGGAAACTCCACCCAAGCTTTTGGAAAACACTTCAGGAGCAATGTAACCTATGGTCCCTCTTGCGTCTAGCATCGAGATAATACTGTCTTTCTTTTTGCAAAGCTTAGCAAGACCAAAATCTGAAATCTTCGGACAAAAATCTTCATCCATAAGTATGTTTTGTGGCTTTATATCAAAATGCACAATCCTTGACACACAACGGTTGTGTAAGTACTCTAGCCCACGAGCAACACCTTCCGCAATGCGATATAAAGCTTTCCATTCTATCTTCGTTGACATACTCTCGGAAATAAATTTGTCGAGTGAACCATTCGGCATATACTCATAAATTATAGCTCTTTTGCTTCCTTCATAGCAAAATCCAAGCAGGGAAACAATATTGACATGAGATGTTCTACTCATGCTAGCTACTTCATTGATGAACTCTTCTCCATTGCCCTTTAAATCCTTCAAGATCTTCACTGCAACATCTCTACCACTTCCATCGGGTAACTTTCCTTTGTAGACAGTTCCAAATCCTCCTTTGCCGAGAACATGCGCAAATGATTTTGTCATCTTCTTGACTTTACCATAACTATATCGTTTCAACATCACAATTGCTTCAATGTTTTCGCGGTTCAAATCATTCTTTCTTCTCGCACTCTTCGCTCTCACCACTATCGCAGTCACAACAATAATGATCATTACAACTAAAGCTGCTAAGCTCCCTGCAAGAGAAGCTTCCGTGTTTATGTACAACAGAAAGATATAGCTGAGTATTAATTTTCAAATGGTGGTGATAACTGATAAGAGCAAAGAGTTTACCGAGTATGACTTTTAACTTCAATGGAGAATTACCTTCAAATGCATCAAAAACAAAAATAAAGGTTAACTTGAAAAAAAAGAAGGATTTTGTAGGAAGACAGAAACAAATAATATACTTACGTTTTGATCCTGTCGTAGCTTCCTTGGGGGATTCAAGAGTTTCATTTTTCTTTTTTCTTGTCAAAGAAGATTCAGTCACTGGGCTCGTGTTCTTGCGTCTCCAAACGAGTAACAAAATTACGCTCATATATCAGTTTACTAGAAAAAGATATCAATTGCTTTTGTGTGTGAAAATGCATTATCGATCAGATGCATATATACACTAAATCAACTGTATAATTTTTGTTTGTTTGTCAACTGTATAATTCAAAGAACGAATATAGATATATATCTGACATTGCTCAAGGACATCAAATCACCTAGAATGATATCCAGGAACCAGACCGTCCTACAGCAAGACTACGCGAAGAGATTTACTGAATTATCAAATCTATTGATTATGCTAATCGTGATTGTACATATTATATTGACTTATTGTATCTACATTCTGACATGAATAAAACAAATCTTTGTTTAGGTTACAGCTGGATTACAATTTAAAATAAAAATAATGTGAAATGGTTGATTCTACTATATAATTCAGTTTTAAAATAAAATAATGTGAAATGGTAGAAAAAAAACTTGCATGTGCTGTTACATTTTAAAAAGTACGTAAACCTGCGCCAACGTCACTGACTTGGTTAAGAAGACTTTTCTTCTTTTTATTTTGGTTTAAGAGACTTTGACGCCGCATTGGTGATGTTAAACGAAAGCAACCCCACAAAACATCCACTAACGAGATCGAAAGAAAAAATAAAAGGAAGGGAGAGTGGAATTCACCTGGTGGGGGCAGGAGTGAAGAAAGGGCAAAACGTGATGACGTAGTCGGTGTAATAGCCAAGGCACGTGAAGTTGTTGTTGTCGTTATCGCCGGAAGTAACAATTGTTGGGCACTCGCTCTTGAATATTACCGAGTAAGGAGACTTTTTGCAAGTGGTGGGTGTCGTCAGACACGGATTAGTGCACGCGATTGGCCGTTCCTCGGCGTCGACGACCCTAAGCTCATACGGACAAGCCTGGTTTAAGTCAATACCGCCATGGCAGCCAACGACTTTGCAGCTATTGGTCATGAATCTTCCCTGAGGGAGGACCAGCAACGGAAGGTTGTAACCGTAGGCGACACTGACGCGGTACGAGTCGATACTGGCTTCGACACTGTTGATGCTTAATTCGGCTACAGTCGTCGGAGAGTTAGTGTCTTTGCCTGAGCACACCATTTCGCCGGAGCCGCAGTCTCCGGTACGGCATGAGAATTTACCAGTTGAGTTTCTGGAGCAGAGCGTCCTTCCCCATATTTTACCTGACCATAACGACGGCGCGTCTATGGCACGCGATGCTCCTTTCTTGAGCGCGAATCCAGTTGTGGATAGTGAACCCTTAGAGGTGAAGATCCCAGGCCACACGGTGTAATCGCATTTGTTCTCAATGGTTAAGTTCTTGGATGTCACTCCTACCGAATAATAGAAAAAAAAAAAAAAAAAAAAAGAGGAAACACAACTTAGTTTAAAGTAGAAGAAAGACAAAACCGGAGAAAACTTGTAGCGGAAAATCTTACCGGAAACTAACAAATGGGAAGCAACGAGAAAAAGCAATGATAATATCCTAGCCATTGGCTTAATTTGGTGAAGAAAAGAGAAGGGAGAGCAAATTTAGAAAGTAGCTCAACCTTTAAAGTCCACTCCACAAGAATTGACAAATAACTCCAACGATCGAATAGGACATATAGATATAGTATAAGCTAACATATTAAATTTAATTTTATATTAATTTTTGTTAGTAGTTAGAGTATGTGTAAAAATAATTTATAATTTTTTAGGATAGTAACATTTGTAATAGTTGCTTTCAGAAAGAAAAAAAAAATTTGTAATTATTTCTACCATAATTTATCTAACTTTATTAATAAAAATGTACTAGGTGTTTTGCCCGCACTTGCGGGCATAACTCTTTTACGAATATTTATTAGTTGATGTTTCATTAATTTATTACTTATGTTTTCAAAAATTACTAATCAAACATCAAATAATTATAAATGACAAAACTCAAACATCAGAAATATTTAAAAGAATATATTTCTATAATTATTTTGCTTGATTTATATTTAATTATAATATTTATACAATTTTTTTTACTTAATTCATATTTAAATATAATTTTTCTATCTTAATTTTAAATTTTATAAAAGAAAAAAAAATTAAAAATAGCAATATAATGCATAAGCTATTTATTTTCTAAAAAATATAATATGATAAATTCGTTTTAATTATATAAGATTATAGAAATGATGACAAATAATTAAAATTATTTAAAATCATGGAGAACTTAATAAATCAGCATATTCACTTATTAAATAATTTTGTTTGAGTGATGATTTATATTTAAATTATAATAGATAATTTCTATTTTAATTTTAAATTATATAATATAAAAATATATTTTCAAGATGACAACATAATACATAAGAATTACCTTATTTTCTAAAAGTATAATATTATTAGTGTAAATTTATTTTAACAATAGAACAATTACAAATTTTCATATCTTAATTTTAAATTTCTAGTAGAAAAATATATTTTCAAGATAACAACATATTACATAAGAAGTATCTTATTTTAGAAAATATAAAATTATAATTTGTTTTAGTTATATAATAAATATAATAACTTTTATATCTTAATTTAAATTTTAAGTTTTATATATAAAAATATAGTTCAAGATAACATCATAATTCACAAGAATTATCTTCTTTTCTAAAAATATGTTATATTCATATAAATTCGTTTTTATTAAATAATAAATTATATATGAAATTATTTAAATAAGGTAAATAATCAAATTTACCTAAAATTAATGAGAAGTTGACAACTAAGCAAAATTACTTCTTAAATAATGTTATAGATTACCTAAAATTAATGAGAAGTTGACAACTAAGCAAAATTACTTCTTAAATAATGTTATAGATCGAGTAAATGTCCTTATTGTTTTGCTCAAGGATGGAATAGCTTACCCGGTTTTGTTAACCAGGTTTGGTTTCCTTTGGTTAAGTGTGGAAAAACCGAAAAAGTAGAGGCCTGAGCAGGGCCACACTGAAGGTCCAAATACTCTGGGCCGATTCTCACTCGTTAAACCTCCCCCGGTACGAATCTACTCGGATAGATCCATCGGATTCGGAGGTTAGTTTCGTAATTTTAGCTACTTCGTTAAACCCTTCTTCTCGAGTTAGAACCCTACTTTACCTCCGTGTCTCCCCCTTCTAACTCTGTAATCTGCTATTGGAGAATTAAGAGACGGAAGATGGACGGACAAGGAGAAGATGCATCTAAAGTAATCCACGTGAAGTTCGTTACGAAGCTTGACTCTCCGTTCAAAGCTCCGGTCACCTCCGTCGTTATCCCTTCTAATGTCACTCGTCTCGGTCTCTCTTCCATTGTCAACTCCCTTCTCACTCTCGGTAGACCTCTCTCTCTCTCTTTACCTTGTTTATTTCTAGAGTTTTCAGATTCGATTTGCTTGCTTATACTTATGAATTAGAGACTAGACTACATGAAAACTAATTAATGAGTGATAACTTTGATCTTTGGATGAACAGAAAAGCATGAGGCATTTGATTTCTTGATCGATGGAGAGCTTATTCGAATGTCGCTTGAACAGTTTCTTCTCGCCAAGGGAATCTCTGCGGTAATGTTTTTAATCATTATCACACACTAACACAGCTACTGTTCATTTCTTGTGGCACATAATCTTTTTAACCATTGGTTCTTGCAGGAAAGGACTCTTGAAATTGAATACATAAGGGCTGTGGCACCACGTAAGGAGGAGAAACCCTCGTTGCATGATGACTGGGTTAGTGCTGTTGATGGTTCTTCCCCCAGGTAATTTTTTTAATGTCTACTGCAGTTACTATATGATGTAGAGTGGTCCTACGTGTTCTATGATTTTTGTCCTTGACAACCAGTTATGTTATTTAGAAAATCTTAGTCTGTAGTTTTATGTTACCACAGGCTAGTTGATGCCATATGGGAATATCATACCACTGTAAATAATTAATGTACACGACTGCCATATCATTGTTGCTGTTAGTTGTGATTATACTTCATTTGTTCTTTATGTGGATTTTCTTAAAATTTAACAAAGTAATGTCATCCAGTGATTGCTATGATCTTAAAGGATCGTCTTTTGTTTGTTGTTTGTAAACGTTGAGTAAGTGGTTGTCCTGATCTCGTTGTTTTCATTTGCAGGTTCGTTTTGACTGGCTGCTATGATGGTTTAGGAAGGTAATCAATCGAAATAATTTATTATATCACATTAATAGCTGTCAACATTTGCAAGAATCTTAGATTTTTAAGGTTTTTTATCTGATAAGGATATGGAGCTCTCCTGGATCGTGTACGCACATTTTAGAAGGCCACACTGGGGCAATCTCCTCTATTGCTTTTGCTAACTCCGAAGGTATGAACATTGCATGAGGAAGAAACACTATGCATGTTCTTCACTGGCAAATAATATTAATCAAGAAGGATTTCACCTTTTTTCCCTCATCTATATCACTTACTACATTTTCTTGTTTATCTTTTCGTGTTGATGTTTCCCATCCAGGTGCAGAAGGTGTTACTGTAGCAACTGCCTCTAAAGATCGGACATTGAGATTGTTTAAGGTTAACATTGATAATAATATATAATCAAAGGTAAATGTTCCGGTTAACTAGACTCATCTCTTTCTCTATAAAGGTTGGTACAGATGAATCTGGTGACTCTACTGCAAGAGTTGGGGCTTACAAGATATTACGTGGGCACAAGGCGTCAGTGACAACTGTTGCAGCTCAGAAATACGGAAGCAAGGTTTGCTGTTTTTTTTTTTTGCTCTTGACCTGTGTATTACTAGAGAAACTACTTTGTATTTCATCGTGCTCACCTACTTTAAATGTAATCCAGGTTTGCTCGGGTTCATGGGATTGCACGATCAATTTATGGGACACAAATGAGTCTACTTCAGAGTTGTCAGTACCAGGGAAGAAAAGAAAAGGGAATAATCAGGCCGAGGAATCTCAGTTAGAGGTACCCTCACTAAATTTTGGATGATATGCATACTCTTTTGAAACACGTTGTCTGCTCTTCAGATCAAGAGGAAGAGACATGTGTACTCTCGAACAGTTGTGTGTTCTCAGTTTAGGTTTCTAATTGCAATTTTGATATTGACTTTTTCACAGGGAGAGGCAGATACTACACTTATTGGACACACACAGTGTGTCTCATCAGTTGTTTGGCCAGAGCTTGATGTTATTTATTCTTGTTCATGGGACCATTCCGTAAGGAGATGGGATGTTGAGACAGGGAAAGATACTTTGAACTTGGTATGCCTTCTTACTCTACTTTGTTTTCTCATGAATTCAGACACACACCAGAACACATTATGATGAATCTGTCTGTGTGTTTTAAGTTGTTTCCATCGAAGTTGAAAGCCAATTTGTTTCTGTCAAATTGTAGTTCTCTGGAAAAGCTCTGAACACAGTAGATGTTGGTGGTGAAGGTTCTGCACTTGTAGCTGCGGGTGGTTCAGATCCAATCCTTAGAGTATGGGATCCTCGTAAGCCTGGTGAGTGATCTATAAGAACACACGTAGAGTCAAAATATATAACCAACCATACACCGAGCTTATCACACGGTTGATTAACTCTCTGCATTGTGTAGGAACATCGGCTCCCGTGTTTCAGTTTGCTTCACACTCATCATGGATATCCGCGTGTAAATGGCACAAAAGCTCATGGTTTCACTTGCTCTCGGCTTCGTATGATGGCAAAATCATGCTCTGGGATCTCAGAACCGCTGTAATATTTCTCTCTCTCACACACGCACACGCCTTTTCTTTATAGCCCACGGCCTTCTTGCTTTGGAATTAATACTTTTCCTCTATTTACAGTGGCCTTTGTCGATTATCGATACACACAAGGATAAGGTAAAGCAGCACACAGTGTTATCTTCTATCTTTTACTCTTCGTTTTCGTTCTTTTTGGTTACTCTAAGAGTGCAAACATATCTGTTTTGTGAAGGTTTTATGTGCTGACTGGTGGAAAGGAGACAGCGTAGTCAGCGGAGGAGCAGACTCTAACCTTCGAGTATCTACCGGAATCTCAATTTAAAACGGTCTAAAATCTCTCGACCATTTCTGTTCTTGCATGAAATATGGAACATAACTAAACACAGTTTCTTAAAGAACTGAAATTTGAAATCTGAAGTTTTTTGATCAGTTATTCTTAGAAATTATGGAGCTGAGAAACATGTTCCAGTCCTGATCGATCAACGAATTTGGAATGAGATTGTTGTAAGTTATGCTAAAGAAAGCTTATTGGAGGTTTCGTTTACTCTTCATGTTGCGTTTTGAATCTAAAATTTTCTTTTAAGTTATATCATCCGAACAGCGCATTTCATATCAAAACATACTCGAAACTGAATTATTTTATCGAAATTATTCTAAAAACATGCAATATTAATACGTTACGTGATTCACGCAAAAGCTGACAGTTTAGGCAAAAAAAAAAAAACGAAACGAAACCAACTTGACTGAAACAATTAGTTAAGGACTTCCAGCACGTTGGTATTAACTAAACCAAGACTCTGAAGATGTTCTGAACCAAGCTTAAAACGACGCTTCAGGGTACGATGGTAAACAGAGGCTGCAAATTTTGTTGTAATAATATTAATCACAAGTTAACCGAGATAAACCGGAGAGGATAGAGATAGAGATAGATCAGTACCGTGTCAACGCTAACCGGTTTTCCATCTTCAGCCAGTAGTTCAGTGATTGTTCCTGATTTCTCAGCCTGTTTTCAACACACAAATTAAAGACTCTCAAAGTTCACAAATCATTGATAAAATAAAATATAGTAATTGTGTTAGAGAATATCGGGACCTCAATCTCATTCATGAGTTTCATAGCTTCAATAATGCAAACAACTTGACCCTTCTGCACCTTATCACCAACCTGCAAAGTTGCAAAACATAAAATACTCAATCACACTCGATGGTTTCTCCATTTAAGCAAAAGATTTTGTTACTAAAATCCTCTAGTACCTTGACAAAAGGAGGTTCACCAGGTCCAGGAGACCTGTAGAAAGTACCAGCCATAGGACTCTTGAGTGGAGGATGAGAAGAGGGAGGTGGGGTTGCTGGTTTAGCAGTTTCCGGGGCCGAGGAGGGAGTAGGAGAAGCAGGAGGAGCAACTTGTTGAGATGGAGCCATTGGAGGAGGAGGAGGCATAGAGTGATAAACAGGAGAAGGTGGTGCAGGTTGTTGCTGTAAAGCTTCCTTCTTACGAATCACAATCTCACAGTCTAGCTGCTTCAGTTCAAGTTCAACTATGTCTCTTGAATCCACAAGCCTTAAATAAGAAAATAACAAAACAAATGTTTCAGTGTTTTGATTAGTTAGTCTGAGAGATTGGTAATGACTCTTGGGGTGGATTTTGACTTACTTAAGGAGACCAGAGACTTTAGCCATAAAGTCAGAGAGTTGGGCTGGTTCAGGAACATTGCTCTTCACTTTCCCGTTACCGTTACTCATTGGTGTTGAGTTAGACACAACCTTCAAAAAAAAAAAACCAAAATGAGTAAGAAAGGTTACACAAAGGTACTATTGGTGAAAACAAGAAAGCTTTACCTCATTGGTTGTCGCACACAACCTCCAGATTGTAGATTGATTCTGTAGAAGAAGAATGAAACATTTTTAAATAGACAAAGATACAAAAAAAAAAACAACTTTATCATCACTGTAAATTTGTAATATATATATAGATGGAAGACTGTAAATGAAAAGTGAGCACCAATAGTTAATGACAAGAGATGATGTGTATTTTTACTTTTGCAAATATCGATAACTTCCTTAATAGTTAAACTATGAGTGTCACAAGTGCAGTAACCAAAAATCTTATATTAACACTAAACAGATCATGATTACATAATAAGTAAAAAGATAACTCTTAGGAAAAGGCTAATCATCCACTAATATTACAGGATAGAGAAGAGAAGCAGAGGAAAACCTCGGAAGGGAATGAGACGCCATTGAGTTGCGGCTGTCGTCGGATACCAAGAACAGATCCGAACCGGCGGTTTGAGGCAGAGATCTTGGCGTAAGGTAGGGACAATGACGCCATTGTTGAGATTAGATGAAATGAAACTGACGATGAAACCGAGGAAGCAGCAAAAAGAGAGAGAGAGAGAGAGAGAGAGATGTTTCACACGGTCGACTTCTCTTTTTTGTTATTTCTTTTTTTGGGTTTAGAGAATCTGTTCGATGGTTACTAAGAAAACCAATTTCTAACTATAACTTCACCAAACCTGTCCAAGTGTTAACTTGTTTTGTCTTGTTCTCAGTTCCATAGTGTTTTTTCTTTTTTGTGCCTCGCTCTCTGTTTTTTTTTTTTTTTTGTATAATGTGTGTTTGCTTATACATTCAACTAAACCCTCATTGATGTGTTAATTGATCAATGGCATGAACCAATTGCAAGTATAGACACTTTTTAATCTTGCATTATATTCAACTAATCTTTGGTTTCCAATCTTTTGGGACATAAATGTATGCAAGATTCAGACTCGGAGCAATATACAAGGGGAAATGTAGTAGGCTCATTAATTAGCGGTTCAAGTAGTGTCTGTTAATTATTGGATTGAACCAATCGCTGAGACCTATCACTTTCTATTGGGCCTGTGATGGGCCCCAATATTAAGCTTAATACGAAAAGGATGGTTTGTGTATAGATTGGAGCTGAAGCTTCAGTGTTGATCATACGCAGTTTCTTGACACCCAAGTCAAAAGTCAGGTTTTTTTCGGGTGGTACACGTATACAAACATGTTGTTTTAACATGTACATTATTGAAACTAAACACCAACCTTTGGGGACAAAAATAAATATAATTTTAATACAATTTTCTTAAAAAAATAAATAAAATTTTAAATTTCTTATTTATATATTATTTTGGGGACAAAAACTATATTTAGTAATATTATAAATTATTTTTCTATATTTTTCCATATGAATTGACAAAATGTTATCAAAAAGATATTAGTGATTGTTGCAGCAGCTCATATGCTGCTTGGCTGCTTGCCACGTCGACCCTTCTACTAGAAACCAAAGTATCGCTCACTCTGTTCTTGGCGCCATCTTTATATTTGTTCGTTAGCTTCAGTTCAGTGCTTATATCTTCTCCGTTTCTCTCTGTTTTCATTCTTCTCGCTCACACTCTGTTCTCCCGTAAAGTCACCGAAACTCAAAAGATCTTTATCCCTCTTCGTATCATATCTCTTCGGTAACCTCCTCAAGCCTCTCCCTTCTTCTTTCTTCTTTCTCTCCAAGAAAACTCTTTACTTTCCACTCTCTTCGTGAAATGTTTTGGTCTTGCGTTTGTTGCTTCTTGCTACTCCTCTACATCATCTACCTCATCTTCTCCTTCTTCTTCTACTTCACTCAACTTCCCCATGTTCTCCGCGCCTAAATGGAACAACAACATCAACATCTCCATAAACCCATCTTCGGCGAAGCTCTCACGAACACTCATTCACGTAAAGAAGATGAAACAACGCACCAAAAGAGAGATCTTTCTTGCTCCTACGGCCTAAGGCAAAACCCTAAGAAGACAACCCACAAATCTTTCGAGTTGGAATCTTCAGAACCGAGGAAGAAGATCTTGTTCCGATGCGGAGAGTGTGGGAAAGGGTTTCGCTACGAGAAGTGTCTCTCGAATCATCAAGCGGGGATGCATCTATCGACGATCCAGAGGGTTTGTGAAGAGTCGATCAAGAGTCTTTGTAGTAGCTTCAGTCTTGTGAGGAGGAAGAAGAGATCGATGAGAGTTTTGAGGTACAAGAAGACTTCGTTTACTACGTTTCTTGAATCTCCTTCTGTTTTTGGTGAGAATGATGAGGAGTTAGAAGTAGCAGAGTGTTTGATTCTGTTGTCTAAGAGTAGTCCTAAGATTGTAGTAGACGGAGTGAAACTTCTTGGTGAGGCAATGGATGATAATGATGAAACGATTCATGGTTTCTTGAGAGGCAAGAAACTGAGGAAAACTGATGAGTTTGGATATGGGGTTTTGCGTAATGAGCAAAAGATTCTGGAAGGAGGAGATAGTAACACATTTGATCATCAGAAACAGAGAAGAGCTTGTGAATTTGTCTCTGGGTTTAGTAGTTATGAAGCATGGAAAGAGACAGTGGGTTTCTTGGGAGACAAGGTTGAGTTGGATCAATGGAAACTGGCAAAATCTAAGCTTGGATTAGGAGCTATGAAGTGTTCTGATGCGGATGATGATATTGTTACTGAAACTAGTAAGGGGGATGTTGAGCACCAATGCAGGTTGTGCAACAAGATCTTCTCGTCTTACCAAGCTCTTGGTGGTCACCAGACGTTTCATAGGATGAACAAAAGTAAGAGCAAGAAGAGCTGCAGAGAGGAACTAGTAGAGTCTGAGGATGACGTGTCTGTGAAGAAAGAGAAGAAGAGGCAGCACAAGTGTAGCAAACTGGCCAAGGACGGTTCATGCTTTAAGTTGTCACAGTAAGTGTCAAGGCAAGATACAACACTTTGAAACAGAGTATGATGAAGTTGTTGTGAGATTTTGTTTTTGAAGTTGTGGAGTGTTTGGTAGTCAAGTTTAAAACTTTTTTTTTGCTCTGTTCTATAAGATGAGAAAAAAAAACATTTACGTTGAGTTTTAGTAATTTCTGTGAAAGTTAGAATCTTTTACATTCTGAATCGATGTTGTACATAATGTGATAGTCAAGTTAGAGACTTTTTGCTCTGTTTTTGTTACAGAGTTTTTTTCCCTGTTTTTTCGAGGAAACTGTTATATTACTCGTTTCTTATAACTCGTGTTTGATGATTCCGGTTCGAGTCAATTTTTGTGGATTTGAAAAGTCATTTTGCATTGTGTCGGTCGGGTTTATGGTATTCAACAAAACTTTTGAGCATATAAATGAAATTAAATAACTACTTTTTGTAATATGTTAAACGAAAACGACAAAGAGAATTGTACGTCATTCTTGTAATTAATTTGAACAAAAATCCACATGGTGAAATTGGACCTACCAGGTTAAAACAAAAAACATTTGTATAAGTTATTGACTTATTGTGCTTATTTTCTTTCTTTTTTTGGCTAACATTTGATAAAATGTTACAAATTAAGACTTTAGGAATGTGGAGTAATGCCTAATCATCCTCAATGAAATATATTATTTATGTTTGTCAATTTTCATTAATCTCTTTAATTACATTTAGTTTTATATCAATCATTTAAGAGGAGGAAGAAAGATGAAAAAGCAAAACTCTTGGCTTAGCCATGAAAATAGGTAGAGACAATGCATAATTTTAGCACTCTATAAATCAAAGGCCTAAACTCAAGGCCAAGGCACCAATTAAACAAATACTACTCATTTATAATTTTAGATCTTCAAATAAATTACAATTTTTTTTTCTTTTTGTTTTAATTTTTCTTTTTTTTTTGGTTTTTTTTGTTTGTTTTAATATGTTTAGATCCACCGGCAAAATCACTGAGGGAACAAAAGCTCCATATTCCTCTCATTTGTTTCTATTCTCTTCTTCATCTTCCTCCTCTGCTATTTGATTTTGAATCTTTGATCTCTGCGAAAGTCTGCACAAGACGTGATTTTGAGGCAAACCCATTTCGATTCACGCATTCAATTTGATTAAAACCAAGGCGGGAATCTCGAATTCGGATCTTTCCACTGGTGGGTCGGAAACACCCCAATGCGGTCTACGAGAAGACCACAAGGAAGAATAAGAACAGCGAAAAGGAACCAATCAGAGACGGATTCGGAGATTGGATCGGAGAGGAAGGTTGGAATCTGATCGACGGATCTGATGTTGGGATTGGGATGTTTAGGAATTAGGGTTTTTGGATACAAAGGATGCAGCTTCACATATCGCCTAGCATGAGAAGCATCACGATTTCGAGCAGTAATGAGTTTACTGACTTGATGAAGATCAAACTCGCAGCTCGTCACATCTCTTCCCGAACTCTCTTCCACACCATTTTGATTCTCGCTTTCTTGTTGCCTTTTGTCTTTATCTTAACCGCTCTTGTTACCCTTGAAGGTGTCAACAAGTGCTCCTCCATTGGTAAGAAAAAAACCTCTCTTTTTGTCTGCACATTTGGTTCTGCTTGTTGTTTGGATCTGGATTAAGTTAGTGTAATGATTGAGATCTGAATACAAGTTTGTATCTTTGTAGTGTCAACAAGCATCTTGTTAGGTTTGTTTGATCTTGGATCGTACTAAGAACCAAGTTTTGAGATTTTTTTTTTTGGATTTTTGTTGTTTAGGTCCCCACTAATAAATTTTTTTGTAGGATCTTGGTTCTTAAGGAGCTGTACGAACTTGGTTGTTATGGTTTTTTCATAATCTATGTTTCACATTTCCCCATCAATGCATTTTGTTGGATTGTAGAAGCTACATGACATTCTTTTGTTTGTGTGAGAGTAAAAGCTACAGACTTTCTTCTGCATTACTAGTTTTGAACCAGAATGAATGACTCTGTATTTTCCCTTTATATTTATGTATATGCTGATTAAGCTGGCTGGGTGTTTATTTCAGTTGTCTGTCCAGGTACCTTGTGATGATCTCATTAAAGTTTTCTTATTTTCAGATTGTTTAGGGAGGCGGTTAGGTCCACGTTTTCTTGGTAGGGTAGATGATTCAGAGGTGAGTGGTTACTTTCTTTAGTTTGTTTTTTATTTATTTCAGTATCTTTTTTCATGTTCCTAAATTAAGTTTTTTTTTTCTTGCGTCATGTTTCTCTTTGTTGCAGAGACTAGCTAGAGACTTTTATACAATTCTAAACGAAGTAAGCACTCAAGAAATTCCAGATGGTTTGAAGCTTCCAGATTCTTTTAATCACCTTGTCTCAGATATGAAGAATAACCACTATGATGCAAAAACATTTGCTCTTGTCCTGCGAGCCATGGTACGCTTTGTCCTAATCTGAATATGTTTGTGATCCTACATTTGGTGAGCTATGTAAATTAGAAGATTGTCTTATGTGATTTGTTTGTGTCTTTCTTAAACAGATGGAGAAGTTTGAAAGGGATATTAGAGAATCTAAATTTGCAGAACTCATGAACAAGCACTTTGCAGCAAGTTCCATTCCCAAAGGCATTCATTGTCTCTCTCTAAGACTGACAGATGAATACTCCTCCAATGCTCACGCTCGTAGACAACTTCCTTCACCAGAGCGTCTCCCTGTTCTTTCAGACAACGCTTTCCACCATTTCATCCTGGCCACAGACAATATTTTGGCTGCATCAGTTGTGGTCTCATCCGCTGTTCAATCATCTTCAAAACCCGAGAAAATTGTCTTCCACATTATCACAGACAAGAAAACCTACGCGGGTATGCATTCATGGTTCGCTCTCAACTCTGTTGGACCTGCTATTGTGGAAGTTAAAGGTGTTCATCAGTTTGACTGGTTGACGAGAGAGAATGTTCCGGTTTTGGAAGCTGTGGAGAGCCATAATGGTGTCAGGGACTATTACCATGGGAACCATGTCGCTGGTGCAAACCTCACTGAAACAACTCCTCGGAGATTTGCTTCAAAATTACAGTCTAGAAGTCCCAAATACATATCTCTGCTCAACCATCTTAGAATATATATACCTGAGGTGAATCTTATACCTCCTTATTTCAACTTTTAATGATTCATTTGCTAATTTCCTCTCTCTTTTTATTTTTTTGGAATATTAGCTTTTTCCGAACTTGGACAAGGTGGTGTTCTTAGACGATGATATAGTTGTCCAGAGAGACTTGGCTCCACTTTGGGATATTGACCTTGGTGGTAAGGTCAATGGAGCAGTGGAAACTTGCAGGGGTGATGATGAATGGGTGATGTCAAAGCGTTTAAGGAACTACTTCAACTTCTCTCACCCTCTCATTGCTAAGCATTTAGATCCTGAAGAATGCGCTTGGGCATATGGTATGAATGTCTTTGATCTACAAGCTTGGAGGAAGACAGATATCAGAGAAACGTATCACTCTTGGCTTAGAGAGGTAAGCCTACACTCTTCATCTAATTCTTTAGCAGACTCTCAAGTTATATCTCACTCTCCTACTCTTTTGTGCAGAATCTAAAGTCAAATCTGACAATGTGGAAGCTGGGAACCTTACCTCCTGCTCTTATCGCGTTTAAGGGTCATGTTCACATATTAGACCCGTCATGGCATATGCTTGGGTTAGGCTATCAGAAGAACACCAACATAGAAAATGTCAGGAAAGCTGCAGTGATCCATTACAATGGGCAGTCAAAGCCATGGCTTGAGATTGGTTTCGAGCATCTCAGACCATTCTGGACAAAATACGTCAACTACTCCAATGATTTCATCAAGAACTGTCACATCATGGAGTAGCAAAAAAACAGAAACTTTCAGATGATATTGAAGGTACTGCAGGTGTGTAAAAGACAAGAGGAAAGAAAGATACTAGGAAGTAAAAGAAGAAGAGACAAAACACACAGAGCAGTGCAGGTTTTAGTCAATTATAAAGATTCAGAAATTTTTAGTTTGCTACATATACATAAAGAACTCGTTGCAGCGAAAGGGGAAGCTGCTGGATAAAGAGAAAGAGATAAAAAAAAGATTGATTCTTTCTGTAAAATAGAAGGTACCCTTTTTTTGATAATTCTTTGGAGAAAGAAACCCAATTCTTGAATCTTTTATATGATTAGAGAGAAAGATTGGAACTTTTGTATTATTATGATTATTATTTTTTGGTTTTATTAAGGGGTCATGGTGATGATCAAAAAGGCCAGTTGTTGTTGACATTTGATTATACACATTTTCTTATTATATATCATTTGGGTTTCTTATTTCTCTAGACTGTGTACATAAGAAATGTATAATCATTTGAAGCTCGGATTTGTGATGTAATCTGTTGCTGTTGAGTTGATGATTAAAAAAAGGTAAAAAATTATTATTATTTTTGATTTAAATTAGGAAAGAGATCATTTCGGATCTTTGATAATAATTAAAAAAAAAGGAATGTTGAAAAGCATTATAATTGGCGTATAGAATGGGAAGAAAGACAGAGAGGAATGGAACATTTGGCTTCTATTGATTATTATCATCTCTTCTTCGAGATCTCTTAATATCTTCTCTCTTCTTCTCTCTGTCTGTGAGGTCTTCGAAGATCCTTCTGTACTATCAAACTTAGATCAGCTGCGAACCCAAGTAAGAAAGTTAGCTCCTTTATCTTCATTTTTAAATGTGTTCGTGTTCAATCGGTTAACCCAATCGCTAGTTTTGGTGGTTTGGTTTAAAGATTGTGTTTTTATTTGTAAAACGTCAATTGTGGATTGGTTTCATGATACCCTTTTGGAGAAAAATGATATCTTTTGCGTTCACATAATTTAATCAATGCTTTTTATATTCAAGATCATCCATATATAAGCTTTAAGTATTCACAATGACATGATTACTTTCCTAGCTGCTGGAAGATTTGTTCTTCGTTTGTAAAAACATTGTTCCCTTTTTGCAGAAAGCAAACGAGGTATAGAGTTTTCGAGCTCTTGTTAAGTCATTTGGTGAGGACTGAGAGATTGGTTATTTGGAGAAATATATATGGCAGAGGTGAAGGATCATTTAGAGATTAAGTTTCGTTTAAATGATGGTTCAGATATTGGTCCTAAATCGTTTCCTGATGCTACAACCGTTGCTGCTTTGAAAGAAACTGTGGTTTCTCAGTGGCCAATAGGTTAGTTCTTAGTATTATTGTCTATGCTTCACATTTTATAGAGAGATTCATCTTATGCAGAAAAGTTTAAGACTTTAGAATTGCATTGTAAAGATTTCATCTTATGGAGAACATAAGAACCTGCTTTGAAACTGATTGTGAATCAATCTGTATTTGTCTTTTATGAGTTTGCTGGGTTGTATGATTGGAGCAGAGAAGGAGAATGGGCCAAAGACAGTGAAAGATGTGAGATTGATAAGCGCCGGTAGAATATTGGAGAACAACAAGACGGTTGGAGATTGCAGGAGTCCTGTCTGCAGCAATCTCTCAGATGCTGTCACCACTATGCATGTCCTCATTCAACCTCAGCTTACTGAAAAAGGTATAAAGATCTTATTTTTGCTAACAACTACTCTAGATTCTTGATCCAACGTACTCGAATGGTTTTGAAGCATTGTTATGATCACTGTTTGAGGACCTCAAGGTTATGAATATGTATGAGAGAATCTGATATATTTTTAATGTTTGTAGCAGAAAAGAAGAAGAAGAAGAAGAAGCCTAAAAGTGATCTGAAACAGAGTAAATGTGTCTGCTTTTGTTTTGGAAACAGGTTATGAAAGACGAGCAGAGTTCAAAGCTTTGGCAGATTCAGAATCTCTTCTTCAATATCTCTCCCTCTCTCTCTTTGTGTGGCAACATTGGCTTTTTGGTTGCTTATGGTTTCGTTTCTAATGTAATTCTGATTCTTAAACACAGTGGAATCATAGATAACTTTTCACATTTTTAGACTAGAGTGAATCATTAAAAACAGTGGTTTTATAAAATTACAGTGTGAATCATTCATTTTCCTTCCTTTCAACATCATGAAAAGATTATTTTTTTTAAATCCGTAGACCTCTCAAGCGTTTGATACAGCAAAACATTGAGAACGAGTTCCTAAAGCTATCTTGAGAGATCTCAAGGAAGAAGATGGCATTGGTAGGTACTTTATAGTACAATGTGGGTTACTTGTGACAGAACAGTAGAACACAATGATCATTTATCTCAATGTGAGTAACTTAAATCATAAAGATGATGAGTAATTGTAATTGATGACACTAAACCTAGAGATTGTGGACATTGTTGATCATAATACTCGGTAAATGAATGAAACTCTGAGGATGCAATAGATGTAGTAGAATTACACAAAATGACAACAAATTTACAAAATGTTTCACACATCAATGTTACACTGATTCGAACTGGTCAGTAGTTTTTGAGGCGAAGTTCCATTCTCACTTCCACCCAACAAAGAATGTCTCCTTTTCAATACACTTCCATTAGCCAAGCAATTGTCTGCACACACACACATACACATAAATTGGTCTTTTATTACACCTATATAGAGTGAGTTAAGAAGAGTAGTTAATGTCCTCTTTTCAATCGATGGTCCGAATCCCAACTAGCTTCCACCAATTTTTTGCTTTAAAAATATTGTATAGCCATATGTGACCACTTCTATTGACTTTGGCATGACACAGACTTATCCATGGGGGAGATTAGCTATACCAAAACGATTGTTTATACTTACTGAAAGCGCTTTAAACTCTATTCAACATAAAAAAAAATCTTAAATCCTTATTTTCATCAAACATTCTTTCAATAGAACAGCTCTTCCATTCTACTCCCTCCGTTCCTTAAAGATACATATTCTAGAAAAAAATTTTGTTTCTAAAAGATCCATTTTTTACATTTTCAATGCATGTTTTATTAACTAATTGTAAACTTCAAAAAACTTAATTGCACTAATTGATTTTCTATTGGCTAAAAATTATGGAAAGAAGATAAATACAAAAAACAATGCAAATTTATTGTGTTTTATTAAAAAGTGTGAAAAAACTAGAATATGAATCTTTTAGGAACAGAGGGAGTATATCCTAACTTATAATTCATCAGCTTAAATTATTATTAAAATTTGTTGGATTGCAAAGCACTGATAATTTTTGATTTTAAATCATTAGTTATGAGTCTTCACTAAGTTAGGTTAAATTAATAAGAAACTTATTTGTAAATATTGGATAGTGAGATTTGTTTCAGCTTCAATTTCACTTGTTGGTTTTGAACAATTTCTTCATTTCTTGATCAACCAAAAACTATTAGAAAATTATAATTTGTTGTGAGTTCCATGAATAAATGATTGAAGTCAAAATCTGTAAGAGATATCACATAAATTTCATAATTCATCAACTTAAATTATCTTATAACTTTAAAATTAGTTGGATTGCAAAGCACTAATAATTGATTTTAATCATTAACTATGAGAGTTTATCTTCTTCCCTAAGTTAGATTAAATACATAAGAAACTTATTTGTAAATATTGGATAGTGAGATTTGTTTCAGCTTCAATCTAACTTGTTGAGTTTGAACAATTTTTGCATTTCTGAAGAAGTGAGTTTTTTTTCACTTATATCATTACTCTTAAAGTAAGTATTTATTTAGTTTTCCATTCGCTCACTATCATAATCAATTTCTTTATTTTATGAAAATACATAAAAGTTTCAAATGATTAGTATATATTTCTGATCCTTCCCCACCCCATCCCCCTCACCCACCCTGCTAGTCCTACGCAACCTACACGCCGTCCTCCCTCAGCCCCCTGGTCTCCTACATTCCCACCTCGCCGACCTCCCTCCAACGACCCCATGATGTTCCCGACGAGAGACCACTGCAAGAAACAACCACTTCATCTCAAGTACCGGGAAATATCTTTCCGTCGAAGAGATTTCCGTCACTCAAGTGGAGCATCACTCGTCATCACCTACGAATGATAATTATTAACTCTGTTTTTTTTTTCTCACTTTATGTTATGTTGGATATTTTGAAAGCAATTTCATTTTAGTCTGTTTTGGTTTTTGTTTCTATATCAAATGCATAATCACTTCTCTTTGTCAAGCATGATAATCCTATTAAACGATTTTGAAAAAACTTAATTAAAACAATGATTTCAATTAATTTTATTAGTCCATGTGGCAAACAATAAAGGGGAATAAATAAGTAGGAGTAGATGGAGATAGAGACGACGAGAAGTATCAGATCTCATTGGTGACTGCCGACGTCGTCGGTAAAAACAGAAAAGACGGAGACGACAAGAAGTATCAGATACCACTGGTGGCTGCCGATGTCGTCGGTAAAAACAGAAAAGATAGAGACAACGAAGAATGAAGCATACCAGAACTGAGCGAATCCGTGCGACTCCGAAGCTCTTCACTTGCGTTCTCGTCGGATTCATCGCTCTACTCAGCTTGACTTGCCTCTACTAAATCATAATAATTGCTTTAAGTTTAATGCTTCAATTTCTTTGTTTGGGTGCAGCCATTTCTAATTTGGGATTCTAGGTGTTATATCCAGCTCCAAAATATGACAATTTTTACTTTGATAAAACAAAAGTAAAAAAAAACATTACAGTTTTATTAGGAAATAATATATAGACGCAAACAAAATTTGATCCGTGCATAATACTAGTATTTCATAATTCTCCAGCTGCATATCATATTTCCGTAAGTTCATATCATGTATAGCTTTATTTATGACATCAGGAACTGACCATTTTAGAATTTAAAATAAAACTAGATTTTGACCCGCACAATTGTGCTTATAATTATTTTTGTTTTTGCATACATAATTATTTATTTTATATTCATCATTATAATATTCACCATATTATTAATTGTTTTAATCTATATTACTAAAGCATAACAATTTTATAGTTCACATGCAATAATTTTATTTATCAATACTATTAAAAGAGAAGGAGTTTTAAAAAATCTACTTATATAAATTGTTTAAACCCTTTCATTATATTAAATTTTTTTTGGTCTTACCTTTATTTTCACTAATAACTATTGTATACAACATTATTATTAATCTATAAGATTCTCTTAAGATTTTTTCATTACTTTTCTTTAATAATTATAACAATAAAATCGACCATATTAATTACTCTATCCCACAATAATAGGTCGGTATGTTATCTTACCAAATAAATATAAGAGCGTTAATCGGTTTAGTATTTATTCACTTCAAATTTTGAATTAAATCACGTACAACAAATACTTATTCTAAAAGTGGACTAAGTAAACATACTAAAAAGACAATAAGATTTTTATACAAAATAAAAACGTATCTATCTTTTTCTGCAATTCAAAATCATTCAGAAATAAAAGGGTATAGAATCTATAGATTAACAAACATAATAACATTGAATTATTATTTTATAAATCTATGTATCAATATTCAAATAAATCAACCGAATAAAAACTAATAATTTATTAATAGCAGAGGACAAAAAAAAAGTTATTAATAACAAAAATAAACTATTTTTCATAACAGTAGATTTTTTTTCTGTCAAAGTTATTTGAATAACATAATACAATTTTAATCAAAAGCTAAGAAATCACAAGTTTATCCAATTTTATGTAATTGTAACAATATATGAAAAATTTATCCAAAAAATTAGTATCAATTTTTAAAAGTTTTTATGGGATCAATTGGTAACAGATTTTGGGTTGTTATCGAATTTTCATTAATTACGAACTGGATTATATTTTGGGTTGTCGATTCTACCGGCTCGACAATGGGTCTTGATCGTATATGAAAATGTTGTTGAAACTTAAAAATTATGATAAAACTGTTTTAAAATTAGTTATTTAATAAAAATTTCAAAGAAATTTTATAAGAACAATCAACAAAAAATACTTGTGTTTTTAAAGTGTTGGTCAAAATCTAGTTTGTTTTAAATTTTCAGTGATAACATATTTTAAATCATGTGATACAAAATTCTAAACTGAATATTTTTGCTAATGGAAAGTTGAGTTGAAAAAAAAAGGAACAATGTATAAGCAAAAGCAAAATAGTTAAATCATTTGTAGCAACTAACATAACTTAATTAATGCGACTAGTAAAAAGTGAGAAACATAATACACACCTTTGTTAAAACAACTGGTGACTTGTCACAAGAGGCCCAGAGAGCTTCCTAATTCTAACATCTCCTCGGTGAATGGATCCAACATAAAAGAAGCATAAGAGAAACGACAGACATTCCAAGACTTTCAAAACACTTCTGAACATTCTTCTCCAACAAAGGATCTTCGAGAAAGTAACTAAAATGCCTGCTCGTGCTTTTGTGTCTGTATTAAACTATGTGTGCACTATGCAAAGCATTGGGATTATCAAATTAGTTTGTTCTTCTTTTTTGCATTGTATTTCTCACTTGGTGTAGCATTATTTCATTCCGCCATTAGCTTATCTGTGATAATGGTCTTTATTAGGTTGAATCTATCAACAAGAGCGCTCCTGGAGTATTAGAAAGGATCCCTTTATGCTTTGCAGTCCATCTTCCTACCATTCCTGCTTTGAGAAAGTAAGTGATAGGTTCAAGAAAGTCTATGTTCGTAGGAAGAAGAGAGGAGAGGAGAAAGAAGCCGTTGAAGACGAGGGAAAGGATTCAAATGTTGAACCTTCCGGATAAGAAAGAGGCTTTAAAGAAATAAAGAAGAGTAAAGAGCCTCGGTTGGAAGAAGAGGGTTAGCAGTTACAGATTTGAATAACTAGCTTAGCTCTTATAAAAGGAAGTAGTCGTTGTTGGTAGAGATCATGCTTTGTATGTTGTAACTCTTTGACGATATGAGTCAAGAGCAATCAGTCGCTATGAGACTGACGATGGAGATGAACTCGTGATGAGAGTGAATCGATATCGTACTACAAAGCTGTAAACACTTCTATATCCAAAGTAATACAAGAGTTGAGCATTTACAAGTATACGAGAAGTAGAGTCTATCAGTAAGTTATTATGTTTCTTATGTCCATGTATAGAAATCCCTTTTTATTTTATTTTCTTCTATCTTTACAATGTATTGATTTGATTACAACAACAGGGAATATGGTGAGCTTTTCTCGTGAGTTGCGGTTTGGTTGGGAAAGCAATCACAATATTTGAAAGCTTAGAGTTGCAGTTCGTGCTAAGGTACTTTGAGACAAATAATCAAATAATCTTATATCTCTCCTCTCTCAGTCCACGCTCTGATTATCTCTCTTTATCTTGTAGCGTGCTCTTGCTCGCAGCGCATACAATCGCGGTGACTTTAAGAAGTCGCAGAAGCTGTGGTATGTTTAAACAATATGCTCTTGCTCGCAGCGCATACATTCGTTGCTTTCAAAGAAGCGCTTAAGTTCAAGTAATCTCTCTTACCCTTACCATTTATAACTCAGAGTTAAGAAATTGATGGTGTCAGTAATTACAAAACACCATGTATCAACAGGCGCGACAGCTGGCAGATGTGGGAGAACTTCTTCAGCCATGTTGCTATGGATGTGGGAGAATGTTGATCAGGTAGATGCAGCTAAATCACTTAAGATTTTAAATCGACACTTGTATAAATGACTTGCTAGTAGTTCTCCCTTATATCTGTTTGATGGATTTTAACGAGTTGGTTTCATCTGTGTGTGTGTGTTTTTTTTTCTCAGACCTTTGAAGCTTTACAACAGATACTGAGAATGAGCAAAAACAAGAGGATTGATCTTGCTTGTGGATAATCTTTCTTATATATTGTTTGTCCGAACAGAAAGTACATCTGAAATCTGGGGATTATATGCAAGATGGAGTAGAATCAAAGGAGATCTTATGGTATGCAGTGAGGCACTGTTGAAACAAGTGCAATCGTATCAGGTATTAATGAGTCATTATTAATGGTAACCGCTCTTAAATCTGTGAGCAGCATTCTCAGCTCCATCTGATGATATCTCTTTCAGGGATCATAAGTGTGGAAAGACAAAGAGCGTTTCAAGCTGTTTGCAAGAGCATCACTGGAACTTTTCAGAGTCTACATGGAGAGATCTCAGTTTCCACAGGAAGCAGGAGAGAAATCTCAAGTGCTGAGATGCATTTGAAGAACACAATCAAACAAGTACGTACCAAACTGATCATTAGCTAATACACACAATAGTTAATAAGCTCTATGACCATACTGAGTAATGTGTGGCTTGTATGTGTAGGCCACAGTGAGCTTCTCAGAGAGTGAAGAGATGAAGGAGCTCGAAAGTTGCCTTGAGGAGGTGAAAGATGTTTTCCAGAAGAGTGAAGAGACTACAAATACAAAAACATGGAAGAAGAAAAGACTTGTCACCTATATAGTAGCTAGGTTAGTCCTTAGTTCCTCAGATTTTGTAACATTTATCATTTTTTCTTGTATGTGTCAAAGACGATTTTGAGGGCATAACACAATTGAATAAGAAAATCTTCCATACACAAAACAAATAAGAAACTATCTATCCCCCCGGAAAGAAAATCCATGTTTAATTATACGTGGAGACCAACCTTCTGCACCTTAAGCTCTGTGAAGCAGACGCAAAATTTTATGATCTGATTTAAGGACGCGAGAAACGCATTTGAGAAGTTGTGGTATAGTTATAACATTTAGACAACGTTTTAAAAGAGGAAATGATTGCTTAGGTTGATAGTTAGGTAAGTTGGGAGGTATGTTTGCGTCAGAAGTTGACTAATGGCTAGTCTCCCTCTTTTTGTCTTCAACCCCAAGTGACAGAACACAATGATAACATTTATCTTAATCATAACCAGAGATTATGGAAACTGTTGATCATAACTTGACTGTAAATGAATGAATCTCTGAAGATTGCAATGAAGTTAGTACAATGACACAACAACAAATTTACAGACGTTTCACACATCAATCAATGTTACACTGATTTGAACTAGTCAGTCGTTTTTGAGGAGAAGGTCCATTCTCACTTCCACCCAACAAAGAATGTCTCCTTTTCAATCCATTTTCTTTAGCCAAGCAATTGTCTGAGAAAGAAAACAAAGTTTAACTGTTGTCAGGTCACAGAAGCATGTCTTGTTTACATACCAGTAAAACTAGATTGTGTAAATACCTTGTTTCTTCTCTGCGTGATTGCTATCTTCACTTGGAACAGCCTCCTCTGAATCAGACAAAGGCGCCAGAGTACATATCCCAAGCAAATGACCGTTAAGACAAACGAAATACTCAATGCAATCCTCATAAGCTTCCAAACGAGCGCATGCACTCTGAGGTATGATATTAGCTTGGAGCATGCTCCATAGTTTAGCTTTACAATACGGACAAACCTCAGATGGATGAAACGGAACCGCTTTGTTAATGATAACCTTCCTGACTTTAGACGTTGGGAATGACTTGAAAATCCCACGGAACAAACCCACGTCACCTTCTTCTCCTTGATCAAGATGCTCACATGGATCACTAACGTAGAGCACATCGGTTCTACACTGAGGTGGCAATAGGCTTCTTCCTAATGTTCTCGAGAATCTTGTTCTGTAAACAAAGTGGCCAGGGATTTGAACCGAGCTGTTGAAAAGACCGCCTTCTGTGCATCCTGTGCAGTAGATGAGAAGCTTCCCTAGGGCTCTCCAGTTGCCGTCTATGCAGTGACTACCGCTAGATTGCAGATCAAGCATCATTCTTGGTGCACGTGTCTTGCAGAACTCTTTCCATAGTACACGTTTGGCGAAATCATCAAACCATTTGCAGACGCAGGAGAGTGTTGCGACTAGTTTTGGGTTCCAGTTCAGATGCTGGAAGACTAATAACAAGACGTCTTCGTTTAGATGGCCTCTTGTGCATTGGCAGGTAGGGGAGTGTGTGCAACGGTACTGCTTTGGTAAAATCATTCTCTCTGCGTTTCAGTCAAACAAGGAAACGCAAAGAGCTTCTAACTGCAATAGGAAAAAACAACAGTTCCATCAGCTTCCTAGTTTTAACAAATGGGCACAGACATGATAATCATCTCGCCATCATACAAGCACCACAAGCAATGAATTAACCCACTAAACAAGATTCAAGACAAGGCCTCGTAAAAATCAAAACAGCCAGAGAAAATGAACCACACAGAGTCTCAAGGGAACAGCTCTCTCACTCCTATGTAGTCTCTCTACATCAGAAAATGATTCTAAGGAGAGAAGAGAATTTCAGATTCAATAGCTCTTCATTCAATGATCTCTAGCCATAACTTTTTATTAACCAAAACAGCCAGAGAAAATGAATTACAGAGAGTCTCAAGGAAACAGCTTTCTCACTCTTATGTAGTCTCTCTGCATCAGAAGGATAAGTTTCATTCAATAGTTATTCACTCAATGATCTCTAGCCATCACTTCTTATCAACCAAAACAGCCAGAGAAAATGAACCACACAGAGTCTCAAGGGAACATGGAATAGCTTTCTCACTCCTATGTAGTCACTCTCTACACCCTTAATGATTCTAAGAAGAAGAGAAAACAATATTTATTCATCAAATGATCTCTAGCCATCACTTCTTATCAAACAAAAATCAATGCTTATCCATACTCAAAGCTAAAATCATCTACAAACCATTAACAACAGAGTCAAACAAGCCCAAGACCTTCCAGATAAAACCCTCACAATGCAACTCAGATCTATAAGAGCAACACTCAGATTGAAAAATCTTAGAGAATCCATACCCTAAAACCAATATTCTAATAACAACTTCTAGATCTTAGAAAGAGAGTAAAGGAACGAACTTTACCACAATAAAACTTGTGGGTACTTCAAAAAAACATGAACTTTACTGTAAAAACGGCTTCTTGCTCAATCCCAGAAACCACAAACTATAGAACTCAGATTTCCAGAAGAGAGTTTTCGATGGAAGCAGAAGCCTCAAAGTCTCCGAAACAAAACTCAGATTACAGAACAAGGAATGATGAAAACAACAAACGATTCGCTTAAAAAGAGAAATCGATAAGGAAAGAAATCTCAAAGCTTTTTTAACTTTTGTTTACTCCATGTAGCTGAAGACAGGAAGAAGATTATATTTAAGTCCTGGCATGGTAGAGCGACAGGCTGTGACAGAAGTAAACAACAATAGCCATTTAGAAAATAACACGTCGGATAAAGAATCTGGATGGTCAATGGCTTTTAAAGTACGGCGTGGCGTGGGGTCGAGGTTTTATTTATTTTCTTTTCCAGTCCCTTATTTTTATGTAAACTCACAAATAAGTACCAAGAGTTTATAAAATCTTAAAACATAACCTTTCTTAATCTTTTTAAAGGTTAGTGTACAATCACAGGATTAGTGAACATGACAACGCTCACAAACTGTAGATATATCTACATATGTTTTACATACATACATAAACACTGGTGAAAAAAAAAATAAGAAAATAGTATTTAGTTAGAGAGGAAGAATGATGTTTGTTGTGTTATGTTGTTGGAGAAGAGTTTCTTTCTTGGAGAGATATGACAGACTCAAAAGCACCCACTAAGGCTTTAACTTTGCTCTTGCGAGTCTCCACAAGCTTATTAGCTGTTTCCTCGATCACATTGTTGAACAACAACGCTTTTGAATCTCTCTTTTCCTCTGTGTCTTGGTGTTTTAGAACAACTTCTGACGGTTTGGGTTCGTGTTGTTGTTGTTCCTTTTCGTTGTTGAAGTTGGTTTCTTTGGTTTTTAAGCTTCTCTGACTTGAGGTTTTTGAGGATGTGTCTGTTCTGGTGACGATTTTCCCTTTCTTGAACTTGAGTTTTCTTGGACTATTGTTGTCTTGTGATCCAACTTCCATGACCTTTCCTCTTTTGAATCTCAGTCTCATGGACTTGCCTTTTAGAGCAGATTCTGTTGAGAGGGGTTTGCTTTTGCCTTGCCTGGTATTGTTCTCAATAGCTTGAGGAGATTCATCACTAGCTTCTTCTTCCTCTTCTACTTCTTGAGGTGATTCATCATTAGCTTCATCTACCTCTTCTGCTTCCTCTTCTTGAAGAGATTCAGTCACAACACACTCAGCTTCGTCTTGAGACTTTTCACTCTTTGGATCATCAATAGGCTGATCCAAGACACATCTTTGGTTCTGATCAGATGCAACAGTCTCATTCCCTGTGTTCATCTTAATAACATACAGAGTCTTCTCTTCAACCAAGTCTTTACACTTATCATCCACCAGCTTCCGAGTTCGTTTTAGAGGAACACTACTCAAGCTATTACTCTCCTTCTTTGTCTTCAAGCCTCGGGTATACCTCTTAGAAGACATCGTAGCTCTCAAAGGCACAACTACTTTCTTTGGTTCTGAAGCTTTTATTCCTCCACTAACCTTCTTTACCTTCACAGTACTGCGTCTAAGAGCCATAGCTGCAGTTTGTGCAACAGACTTCAGCTTCAAAGCAGTGACACGCTTGTTATGTTCAACCATCTCCAAAGCTCTTCTCCTTGACACACCAGTAGATTTAAAAGAGTGTGAAACCGTCTTCTTCCTCTTACAATCTGATAAAGACACAACAGCCTTTCTCCTAGACCTCTCTGCATTCTGTTTCTTACCATCACAAACTCTACTAGCAAAGTGTTCAACTCTGCTCACTTCATGTTCACATCCACCATCAGAGCCAAGAGAAGAACTCAACAAAGATTTGGTCAATGCCTTCTTCTTCAAAGGTGAATCAAAGCTCAGAGTTCCTGAAAAGCTTCTGTTAACCCTTTTGTGAGGTGAAACATCAGATTCATGTTTTTTTCTTCCGTACTTGCAAGCATCATGACAAGAACCAGTGGAAGACCTGAGGTAATTAGGAACAAGAGTCTCTTCAGTGTATAAAAAACTCAGCTTTCTGGTGGAAACCCTTCTCCATGATCTGTTTACATCCGGTGAATCAGGCAAACAACGTACTTTCTCCTCAGCCATTAAATCAGCTAAAGAGAGAGATTCAAAGGATCATAGAGATGTTAGAATAATAATAAAAAAAAAAGCATTCATGATGAAACTAAAAAGGACTCTAACCTTGTGATATTGCTGCTCTTAATTACAGATTTAGGCTAGAGAAGATCATCGACCTGGAAATAAACATACAATCAAATTTAGCTAAGAAACATTGCTAATGCTATCGTTAAACATCATCATCATCTTATACCATTTTGATTTGTTCCAAATACAAGAGACAATGAATTTTTTTTTTTTTTTTGAAACACTAAGAGACAATGAATGATTAATCGTTTCTAGCTACAAATCATTATGATTTAAAGCGTCTTAAGAACAAAAGGAACTCTTAGAAGCAATCTACGTAAAGACGGAAGAAAAAATCTCACCTTTTTTGTTTGTTTATGCAGGATGTAAAAGATATTGATTCTTGCTCTCATGTTTCTATTTCATAACCCACCAACGGAGAGAACAAATCTGTTTCTTTTGTTTTTTTTTTGCGTTTCAGACAAAAATAGTTAAAAGTTTAAAAATACTCGGACACGTGGTTACATATATATCTGTAGCGTGCGTGTTAGCACTTTTAAATGGGCCTGATTTTGTTGGGCTTACGTGGCCTTTCACCGCATGTACTGTTTTTTTTTCTTACAGAGCCCATGTATGTACAAACAATTTGACTTTTTTTTTTGTCGACACAAACAAGTCGACTTTTGAAGCCACAAAATAATAAAATTGAGCTTTGACTAGTATTAATAATAATTAAAAAAATAACCTGAAATTTGGGAAAAATTAAGAATCCCCTATATATTATTTGAGAAGCATTACAACATTCTTTGGTAGCCACGTGTCAGCATGAGAATGCTTCTCAAATTTACTAGAGATAAATGTTGGTCCATATAAACATATAATATACTTTTTATTAGCCTAAATATAAAACTATTATTAATGCTATTCATTATTTCCTTAAATAAAATTTACGGAATTACCTAATATGGTTACAATATATATATGACAATTAATGATTTGAATATGAAGATTTGATAAAAAAAATTATAGCATCTACTATTTTTGTTAAATTTAANCATATAATATACTTTTTATTAGCCTAAATATAAAACTATTATTAATGCTATTCATTATTTCCTTAAATAAAATTTACGGAATTACCTAATATGGTTACAATATATATATGACAATTAATGATTTGAATATGAAGATTTGATAAAAAAAATTATAGCATCTACTATTTTTGTTAAATTTAATTATAAAAATAAATTAAACAATAACATTAACTATATAACAAAAAAATTAGATTTTTACATATGTTATATTTAAATTTTTACAAACGACTATAAATTAATAAAGCATTGAAAAATTTCAATTATAATATTTTTGATTAATAGTTTAAATCTCCTATATGTTGGAGCATTACAACATTTTTTGGTAGCCACGTGTCAAAATGAGAATGATTTTCATAACTCTTAGAGAAATATGTTGGTCCAACTAAACATACGTTTATTTTTATTATACCAACTATCATATTTAATTAGTAGTGTACAAAAGAAGATTTTTTATTCTTTCCTTAAATAAAAGCTACGGAATTATCTAATATGATTAACATATATATCACAATTAATGTTTATGAATAATAAATATTTGATAACAATTTTTATACTCTTTATGTTTTATTTAATTTATATCATTAAAAGAAATTAAAAAACCACATTAATTATATAATAAAAAAATATATGTTCTTATACGTTATATTTTAAATTTTTTAAAACGACCATAAATTACTTAAGATGGTAAAAATCTCACACTGAAATTTTGTGATCAATGGTAACGATTTTAGTTCATCCAATCGTTTTTCTAATGGGTCTTAAATAGTTCATAATGATTAACTAAATGGATCACCCATAATAGAGTGTGTTTTGTTTAAAATTTTTGCATACCCAAAATCAATATGAACCATCATCCATTTCGTTTTAATTTTTGGTATAATAAAAACAATATATGGTTGGACAAAAAAAAACTAAATCCAAATAACCGAACCAAATCTAACCCAAAAATGAATACAAATTTTTAAGCAAAATTGGTTAGATATCCAAGCGAATTCGAAATTTTGGTATCTAGATAATCAAAACTGAATCGAAATATTTCGGGTATCCGAGTGTACTCGAACCAGATTTATATTCTTAAATATATTAATTATTTTTAAATTTAACATCTAAGAATATACAAAACACATGAGATGTTTTAAAAAATTCTAAAATACTTAGAAATATGTAAAATAGTTAAATGCAAATTTTTAAAATAGCCAATCAACCTCTAAATACCAAAAATATTTGAAATATTTATTGATTTTTTTGTCCAAATATTTAAGATAAATCAATTTTATGTTAATTTTAAGTATTTTGTCATTCATTTTTCAAATTTATGTTATATATTATTTCTACTTTTAGGTTTTGAAAAACTTAAAGTATATATGAATTTTAATCTTTTTTATAAAAATTAAATGGGTTATGCGAACTTAAACTCAATCTGAACCTGTAAAAATTCAAACCAAACCAATGATCTAAACCAAACATAATCTAACCGAAACAAATAGTACTCAAATGTCCATATTGATAGCAAAATATGTATTTAAATACAACATATTTTTAAAAAACTCACTCCGCGCATGGCGCGGGTTATCATCTAGTATAATGTGAAGTGGAAACCAACGAGAGAGAGACGAAGAACAGAAGTGTGAAACGTTATGAAATAACTTTGTCAGCTCAGCCTTTACTGAATTTTTCTCTTTTCTGTGTCTGGATAACCTCTGAATTCGATTTAATGTTTATGAATTTGGGTTTTGTATTTATTATTATTAAATGTATATGGTTCGTATATTTTTTAGAATATTTTATTTTTAAAACACAATTTTTTTTTTTGGAACACAAAAAATAATTATTATTTATCATCATACAGCTACAGCAGTTGAAAAAAGGAAAAAAGATGGGCTATGAAAACCCACTAGTCCACCTTTAAAATCACAAGTTGCGCAACTAAAACAACTCTAGAGAGAGAGTGTGTGTGTTCAGACAAAGAGAGAAAAAAATGGCGAGATTCACGGTGTTGATTGCGGCAGTGATACTAGCCTTTGTAGTGACAGCGCCGGTGCCTGAAGTAACGGCGAAGAAGTACACAGTCGGCGAGAACAAGTTTTGGAATCCAAACATCAACTATACCATCTGGGCTCAGGGAAAGCATTTCTACCTCGGTGACTGGCTCTGTACGCTCTCTCTCACTCTCCTCTACATTACTATACATTAGATCTGATTCTCAAAATGGGTTTCACTTTAAAATCTGGTATTATTTTTAAAAAAGTTTCAACCTTTCCACTAAAAAAGTTCTTACCTTTCTTATTCTACATTGCTTGGATCAACTTTGTGTATACTGAAATGGATTTGGTTCACTAACTTCTGTTGGGTTTTTTTCCATAAATGTTTCTTAATTAGTCCAGATCTGGTTAGAATACAATGTTAAGCTTGTCTGAATGAGACACTGTAATGAGTAAATCTATGTCTTTCTCTCTCTATGCTCCTTGTCTGAAAGCAATAATCTTTCTTTGTCACACTCGTTAAAGTTGGAATCTTTTATCAGACATTACCATTATAGCTCAAGTTCAAATCATGGGTCAATACTGGTTCAATGATTCTATATCAAAAATCTTACTTTTTGATTCTCTATTAATAACTAATCAAGAATGTGTTGTTTTTGTGGTGCTTTGTTAGACTTCGTGTTCGACAGGAACCAACACAACATTCTTGAAGTAAACAAGACCGACTACGAAAACTGTAACGCTGACCATCCTCTCGTAAACTGGACACGTGGAGCTGGGAGAGACATTGTCACTCTCAACGTGACTAAACACTACTATCTACTAGACGGAAAGGGTGGATGTTATGGCGGCATGAAGCTCGCTGTTAAAGTCGAGAAGCTTCCTCCTCCGCCAAAAGCTTCACCTGTCAAGAGCATTGGTTCAGTTTCCATGGCCACTGGTGTTGCTCAGTTCGTTGTTCCGTTTGCTCTTTTCTCTGTTTCGACGGTGTGGGATGCCATCTTAAGGATGTGGTAGTGAATGATCTAAGAGCTCTTTACTTGGAATCCATTTTCGATTTGAGAGACATTAAATTCTTTTCAGGGAAAGCATTTTTAAGTTAGAAAGTTCATCAGTTGAGTTTATGTTTTGTAATGTTGGATTGTTGGTTTTAATCTTTTGTTTCTTGTATGTCTCTTTGAAATCAATTGTTGAAAAAGTCTATATTTGATTTACTTGAGATTGATTACATTTAATTATTGAAATTTTCATTTAAGAATCGAACAATCTCTTCTTTCTTTTTTTGCTGTTAGAAAGTGAATGAGTTGGTTCTAAGGAATAACCTTGTTTAATTATCAATCTAATATTTCCAGTTTAAAAAAAAAGGTGTTGAAATTTTTGAATCAATGGTTGAGACATTGTGTATGAAATATATTATTTAAAATCATTTTGAAACGTCTTTTGGCTTATCTGTAGCATGTGGGTTATCTGTGAATTGTATCAAATCCAACCACCACATGCCCCTTTCAATAAGCTGTATTATAATTAAAATTAAATCATGTGTTCGTAAGATGAAACAAAAAGACGAATATTCATGTAATGTGTGTTTTTTAAATTTTGTTTGGAGGGATGTTACGAATATGAGTAGATTTCACATGGACCCTTACAAGAATATTTGAAATGGTGATACTGATATTGACTGGTGGGGGACACTGAGAATTGTAGATTGAACAATGAATATTCTGGACGATCTATTTATTTACCCGAAAAGATAATTTTCTAATCACATTGTACGTCTTTGTCAGTTCCAGTTTAGATGTTAGTGACTCTTAATCTATTGCCAAAATGTAGATACTGTATAACCAGTAGCATCTAGTTCTCAAATAAAAAAATTCAAAATTCTAATTGTAATAAGTAATCTGTTCTATACTTGTATGATTGTGTCTTTGTAGTGGCTATTGTTAAGCTTAAATGAGAGATTCCAAAGCCAAAACCTTTTTATTCAAGTGTGAAAGAAAATAGAAAGCCTAGAATTTGTAGGCCAATTAAATGTGGAACCCAAAGCTTAAATGTAAGCTCTCTCTTTCGGCTCTGGTTTACTCTGACCCAATAATAGGCCGAGAAACCTGAACACAAGACGAGTAGCTCGAGAAACCATGGAATCTAAAAAAAAAAAACCGGGCATGAGCACTTGAACGGCTTAGTTTATCGGTTTAGTTAATGAGATAGTCACACTCAGAGAAGGAAAAATATAGATCAGTTGGTTATGTTCTTGTTCTAATTAGTGGTGAACAGATGAAATAGCTGCTGGACAAATTAGGTTCTTGAGACAGTTTAGAAAATAATTTATTAATGAAGTATACATTAGTTCCTTGAAAGATGAATCATGGGAAAACAAAAAACAAAAAATTGCTAATCAGGGCGGGAAGACATCCCTGCCCCGAACGTTTGGTTTCTTATTGTAAAAGACAGAACAATGGTGGTTTAGTGATGAGCAGTAGCTTCAACCTTGTGTGGCTTCGTTGTCATCTGTAGGTGAAGAAAAACAATGAGTTAGCATACAATTAGATTCAACAACATTTTAGATACAGAGATATCCACGTTCCAAAAAAAAAAAAAAAAAACATTTCCAACGAATGCAACATTACAAGATGAGCAAACAACACAAATCCAACAACAAGAGTAAACCTTTTGCAACAACATTACAAAATCACAAAATCACAACATCTATAGCTAGAGAGAGAGAGAGAGCTGTAAAGTGGTGGAAACACAACAAGACACACTAAGTAAGAATCAAACCCTATTAACAAAAAAAATTGCTCTTTCACACAAACTATGATCAAAGTCGGTAACTTTCAAAATATCACCAATTATACAAAACGTTACAATCATCAAAATGTTGTTACCTTCAAGACCTTTAGCTTCATGCTCCCGTAGAGGAGACCCACGCTAAACGCCGAAGCACGAGCCACCTGATCATAAGAAGACTCAGATTAATCACACACAAACGAATCAGAAAGAGAGAGAGAGATGAAATTACAAGAGCAAGGGAGCTAGTGCCGGAGTAAAGTCCTGGAGGTATCGCCATTGATTGGAGTCGTCGTATTGTATTCACTTAGAAGAAAAAAAACCCTAAGAAGATCCCCAAATCAATCGCAATCTCAATTATTCCTTTTCTTCTTTATACTTTACTTTAACTCAATTGTCGGGCCTATAATGGGCCTACTTTTAGAATAGTTATTGGGTTATTGTACCTTGTTTGATCAAATCACTTGTACTTATCGTTTTTGATATGGTATTTCTTATTTATTGTTATCTTTTTACTAAATTGTAAATTTCATTAATATGAAAAGTTTTGGGTCACATAATCCTAATTTTGTGAAACCTTGGCAAAAAGAAATAAAAAACAAGGCTTACACAAGTGTTTGATTCATAACTGCAGAACTAAGAGAATTGAAGTTTCTCTTATGTCTTCTCGTAGTAATAATGTTGCAGATGTTCTTGTATATAGATTGAACTTTGTCTAGATTATTTCTTAAGTTACCAGGTTTCTTGACATAAGATCTAGATGGTGCACTAAATTTAATTTTTTTAGTTTTATTGTATTTATGTTTCTTTTGATTGTTTAAAAATAAATGTATAAAATTATGTCTAGTTGTTTGGGGGCAAAACTAGTTTGAAAAATGTAGGTACATGTGCACCCATGACTATTTAGATATTTAACGTTTTACCTTGTAAACTAGATCTTTACCCGCGCAACCGCGCGTGTATTACTTTCAGTTTTATATACATATGTTATTTATTTTATGAATTTATATTTTTAACGTTGAACATATATTTAAATGTTTATATAAATGTATTGTTAATTTTAAGATGTTCTTATGTATTAAGAGAATGAAAATGGAAATTAAATATGATTGTTAAGATTTTATTATACAAATACCAAATATAAGGTTACAATTTTTCTAAGAAATGGTCTATTTTTTAAAAAAATCACACATGAAAAGAAGTTGTGACTTCTCTTTTACTATAATAGATATGATGAGAAAGTGGCACATTTGGTTATGTTACACCCACAAATTCATGATTTAGCTTACCAAAAAATTAATTCATGATGTTGAGTTCAAGCCAACGAAATATTGTGTGTTAATTATTTTGCATCCATTGCAAAAAGTCTGGTTTCGCCTTGTAATTATTTAGGTTACATGGTTAAATATCTTAAGTTTTATTATTATTAGTATATTTATTTAATCTATTTTTTATAAAAGAATCAGTTTGGATTGGTGTAAAACTACTTGAAATTATGTTTTTAAAAAATTTCAAAATCATTTCACCGTAGATTAAAAAACTTGAAGAGTAACATGATTAATAACCAACAAAATTTACAGATGCTCTTCTATCTCTTATCTCTAAGAAAGAAAAATTTAAAAAGACAAAAAATTTAAAATATATAACATGTAATTATTTACTCTTCAGAACTCTCTAACATCGATATGTCCTCTCTCTTTGAGATCTTTTTTATAAAGAAAGTATATCCAGATTTATTTATATTTTATCATGAATAATATTATATATTTGAGTGATAACAATAATTAATGGGAAATTGTATTCTATATACGGAAAAAAAAACACAAATGCACAAACTAACTAAAATTCTCATTTTCTCTTCTACTTTTCATTTTTATTTCGCTCTACTTTATCTTCCAAAATTTAATTTTTCTTTTTTTTCTTGTTTATTTGGCAAAAAGTCTCAATAATTGATATCTTTCTGAAATTTTGAGGGATCTTTGGGATATATGTTGGGTCCACTTTAATGAGGTCTTATCCAAATAAATAGTATCCAATTATTTTATTTTTTTTTGAAAATAAATAGTATCCAATTATCAACACGACTGTATTTATGTTCACTATAATGTATTGGTTTGGTCTTTTCTTAAGTTATTACACAATTAATTGGTGAAAAGAAAATCGAGTTCAAGAGGGGCAAACCAAAGGTAAAAAATGACATGAAACAACCAAAATTTAATGTTATCTTACAGGAACGACAAGTGAACGTGATTTTTTTTCTTATCACATCCACACTATCGCAATATAACTCAGTCTTTCATATGAACCTGATCGTTCATTCGTTTGCACAGTAATCAACACAGTTACACAGGATACCACAATAACTTATGCTTTCTGATGGTTTACATGTCGCTGTCTAGTGATTTTGGTCTACGTGAACGTGGTAGTAGACTAGTAGTCACATGCAGACTGATTAAAGCTCTTTAATGCTTAGCAACGGCTTTGAAGAAAACAACTAACGAAGTAATCGCAACGTAGCGTCTGTAGTCCAACGGTTAGGATAATTGCCTTCCAAGCAATAGACCCGGGTTCGACTCCCGGCAGACGCATTGAACTTTTGTTTTTTTCTTTCAAAAAATGGAAAGAAGCCATATCATTTTCTAGAAAAAACCAATCATTGATTCAGAACATCGGATGTGAATAGGGCGGTAAAGTATCAACAAAACTGAAAATGCTGCCCAAGTAGTTCTTGTTAATGTTGTCCTCGTAGTAGCTGCTGCAGTCACCAATCGTTTTCAGATTCTTTGATCAAGTTTAGACACGTGGATGATCCAACGAACTCTGTCTTCGCCAAAGGTTCCTTCATCTCCGAGAACGACACTGTAGATGTCGGAGACTCAAGATGCTGTTGTTGTTGCTCTGCATTGGCTACAACAAAATAATAAAAATCAAAGACTGTGATTAAGTGGTAGTTTCAAGTTGCCGTCTTAGCTCAGTGGTAGAGCGCGTAACTTTTAATCCTGTGGCCGTGGGTTTGATCCCACAGACTGCGTTCTCTTAATTTTCCTAATCTTAATTTTTGGTTTGTCTCTTCAGAGTTTAATCTTACCTTGGTTTGTTTTACTTGTACAAGTGGTTAACAATGTCTTATGAGTGAATCCATAATGCTTATGAGATAATGGTTTGGTTTGGTAATGAAGAAGTTTTGATTCTCTAGCTAAACCTTGCTTCAGCTTCAAGCCTAGCACTTACCCATTGAGCCATGTGGCTAAGTTTGGCTGCGTTCTTGGTTAAACCTAAGTGAAGACAGAGGAGTAGTCTCGTTTTTGGGTTTATGAGTCACTGGATCAATACCCATTTTAACCAACCGTTTCTTCAAGTGAGTGTTCCAATAGTTCTTGATCTCGTTGTCTTTCTCTTTGACAAATGAGTCGCTATTGCCGACCACCTAGTATTAATTATACTCCCTCCGTTTCGAATTAGATGTTATTCTAGAGGAAAAATTTCGTTTCAAAATAAGTGTCGTTTTAAAGTTTCGAGAGAGAACTTATTAGGTTTATATGATATTCTATTTTTCTATTGGTTGAAAAGTGGTTAGGTGTATTGGTAATTGTGTTTTTGTATTGAAAATATGTAAAATTAAATGTTTCCTTAATCTATTTGTAAAAACATAGAATGACAAATAAATTGAAACGGAGGGAGTAACAACAAAAACAAAAGTTTCAGAGGCCATGGAAAGAAGCAGAGTTCGTTTGTTTTGTTTGGAGACCTGTTTCCTAACAGAGCATAGAGTTGAATAATTGTTTATTCTTCTTGCATGTTGAATTTGCCTCTTTTGATGTCAGGTCTACAAATTTGATTCCATTGTTTAGTGTTCAATTTTTTTTAAAAGGACAAACTTTTATCAAGGGTTTATGCAAAATCCAGTAGGAGATAAGACATGAACAAAAACAGCTAACGTAGGTGCTAAGGAGAATAATAATAACTATGTAGCTTCTTAAAGAGAGGAACAAGTGCGGCCATAGCATGTTCGAGGTGTTCAAAGATGTTTGCCCGGATGCTTACTTTTACTGCCCCTCTACTGTTCATATTAGCACGAGCAGTTATATCAGATGAACGTCCTAAGGGCACTTGGGTCTGTATATTCCCTCCGAAAACAAGACGACCCCGATGCCCATCCACCACAGAAAGTCTCAGAGTAGATAAAAACCTACCAAGCAACCGAGCTTCTAAACTACCCCAATAAGCAGCATCACCTAGACTAGTCATTGTCCCACCACCATACACATCAATTCCCAACCTTTTATTAGCAATCAACTTACGTCCTCCTTTCACCCCCGCAGACACCGAATCACCCAAAAGCGTTACAGCGAGACCAGCCGCAGCTTTTTGTTTCCTAAAATTGGTATCACTTCGAAGAGTGCAATACAATTCACGCCAAGGATATTTTTGCATCTCGAAACCTAGGGAGGTTGATCTGTTACTATTTCCATGTTCAACCAAGCTGGCCATTTCCAGCTGCACGTTTGCACCTTTCATTTTCATGACGTTCACTGCCACGCAGCCCGAGTAAGACATTTGTATCTTTTCTTTAACAACCAAACGTCCTTCAGCGCTTACACCATCATAGCCACTAATATCATGATCCCATAACTTACTTGCCAGGACTGGCTTAACGATTAGGCTCGGGTTGGAGGTATCAATAAAATATTGCTCCTTCTCATCAGATTTACTAAAAAGCCTAGAAATATCAGCTTCAGTCAATTTCTTAAATTGCTTAAAAGGAGGAAGCTGATCTGATTCCAGAAGAGATGAGAGAAAAGGTGGCAGTGGTGGTGGAGCCTTGGATCGAGCTCGACTATTATTATTATTATTATTATTATTATTATTATTTTGTAATGTCTGCAGAAGAGCATTCTCTTCTGCTAGAATCTTGGATGCAAACGAGAGTAACAGCAAATGAGGCATCCACGCTTGGCCATTCGGTAAAACTCTCTGACCCGTCGCCCGGTTCGTCCTGCAAGCAGGGTGGTTCTCAACTAAAGACACAGGGAGCCGCACATCATCTCCAGCTGCTAGGCGAATGTCCAGCTGAATGGCATGACAACGTCGTGTTACAAACATGTCGTAGCTAGAGGCAGCAGCGCCATCTGGTGGAGCGGAAGAGGCGTGAGTCAAACCCAAGATGGCGTTAGACCATATCGACGGGCCAAGAACATGGGTGATGGTGCGCAAAAGAAGCATGTCAGCATCTATGCTTTGCGTATAATCCAACCTATCGAGATATAATACAACATCCGGTGGAGTTTTTTTGATGAAAGCCCTAATAGACTTGAGGGTTTTCTTGTTCTTGGATTGATCAAACGGTGATGGAGAGAGGCCTGGAGTGTCGATCACCAGGACTTTGATTCCCTGAACAAAACCCTCAACAACCCCAACACTCTTCGTCCCCATCTGGAATGCATCGGTGGTGCAGACTTGATCATCATTGAAAATAGAATTAATCGTAGCACTCTTGCCAACACCGCTTTTACCCAGCAACATAATCGTACAAGCAAAATCAAGATCCTGTCCACCACCTGCTGCCTCAAGCTGTTCCGCCATGGAAATGGCACGATTAATACTACTGATAAAGGCACCAGCATCATGGCTGCTGCTCAGCTCAGGCAATCCAAGACTATACAAAAACCAGGCAACAACAACGCTGTTACGTGGAGTTTGCCCTAATCTGTGGGAAAGCCTCAGAAACTTGACCCTAATCAATTGTAGCTTCTCACTGGTCTCTGGAGTGGTAGTGGTAGGAGGGCCCTCTGCTTGCTGAGACACGTCGTTGCCATTGACACGGCGGCGAGGAACACGTCGTCGTCGGGGAGTGGGTTTCAAAAGTGGAGCACCATGCCCAAGGCCTAGTAGTGGGGGTAACGATGCCGTAGGTGAAACACAACTTGCTTCCTCGGATTTTCTTTCGCTTTCCTGATGAATCTCTCGACTTATATTCAATCTGCTGCCTTCTTGCTGCTCCTCGTGCAACACATCATCGGTCTTCTCTTCCATATCTTCTGACCTGCTCACAAAACCATAATCACCAACCAAACCAAAAATAAAAAAAGAGGCTTTTAGCTTTTGATATAAATTTCCAACAACCCTAAACGAAATCCTAGCTCAGTATTATCACCAAAAACTATGGAATACTCCTCGCTTTCATCCAATGAAAGCTAAACGCTTACACAAAGAGAGAAGACAACTGCAATGGCGGAAATCTAACCTCGTTTAGAGAGATTGTTTGACTGCCAAGACTTTCGAATTAAAAGGCTTTAGAAAAAAAAAAAAAAAAAAAAAAAAAAGTAAAAGTCACAAATTCTAACTTTATAAACAAGTAAAGTAACATGGAGGGAAAATGGAAGCTGAGGCCTTTTTTTTGTGTGCACCAAATATTAGATTAAAGTAGAAAAGTTTCAGGTCCAAAGGTCAGCCCATTAAGGGTCCAATACAGAAAGAGAGTGGAGATCCCATTTTGCCAAAGCGCCGGCCTCTTTGTTTTTGTCGCGAGAAAAATAAGAAAATGAAATGGAGACGAAAGTAAAGGAGATTTGGTGGATATTGGCGACGATTCCATAGATTTCCTTGACTTGCATGTCTTTTGATGGTAGTGTTGAGCTTTTGAAAGTATTTTCTTTTAGCATAGCATATATATAGATTCTCACATTGAATTGGTAAAATAAAACTGAAATCGAGAAGGGCATAACCGACTGATAGATACCTAATATCTTTGGTATCTATCTAAAGACGTGGCAAGTGAGGAAGCTGATGTGGACAGAGAAATAGAGTGGATGAGACTCTAATTGGGTGAGAAGTTTTGCCGTTGAAACTCTGAACATGATAAAAAAGGAAGAAGACTATCTACAAATAAAGAGTGAGAATGAAAATTAGATTTCATGCTTGATGTTGATTGTTTTAGACGCCATGAGTCTAGACCTCATGATCACCATGAGATCGTTGATCCTAGTTAAGTTCGCCATAGAGCTTACTTAGTTTCTTACCCAAGCTATAATCAATTGTTCTTTTCATATTCAATACGAGAATTTTGGATTCACAGAGATAGAGATACCTAAAGTCTATTATTGGTGCGGTGAGCGAGAATCGAACACGTGAATCAGCCAGAAAATGACATGAAACAACCAACAATTAATTTGTATCTTATAGTAATCGACAAGTGAACGTGTTGGTCTATGATTTTTATCACAGCCACAATCACAATAACTCAAACTTTCATATTACTAGCATAGTAATCAACAAAACAAACTATCGTATCATATGGTCCTGATCCTTTATCTGTCGTCGTATAGTGATATTATCATATTGGTCTACGTGGTAGTAGTCACAGACTGTTATTGATTAAAGCTCTCTAATGCTCAAGTTATATGAAAGGTAATGACACGTTTGGTCAATTTGTTGTAGTTCAAAAACAACTAAAAATACAAAACATCGAAGCGTCTGTAGTCCAACGGTTAGGATAATTGCCTTCCAAGCAATAGACCCGGGTTCGACTCCCGGCAGACGCATTAAACATTTTTTTTAAAAAACCGTTGATTCAGAACATTGGCAGTGAAGAATCAACGAAGCTGAAAATGCTGTCCAAGTAGTTCTTGTTTTCCTCCTCGTAGTAGTTGCCACCACTCCTCTCTTTCACCGTTTCCTTTTTCTCGTCGGATAAGCTCCGGCCTAGTGAATCTCCGGCGAGCACTAGACCGGTGAACCCTCCGTCAACTCCTCCCGCTTCGAACTCGTGAACCGTTGAGTTGAACCAATCGTTTTCAGGTTCTTTGATCAAGTTTAGACACGTGGATGATGATCCAACGAACTCAGCTTCAAGCCTATCACTTTCCCATTGAGCCATGTGGCTAAGTTAGCTGAAAATTGGCAGTGAAGAATCAACGAAGCTGAAAGTGTTGGTGATAAGTTTCTTGGGCTTCCAACTTAAAACCAATTGGTAATTAGTGGATTGGTCCAAGTCCCTTATATATTACTCAAGTCCCTTACATATATTCGATGTGGGATCTTTATCCCAACACCCTCCCTCGAGATAATGGTGGGTCTAACCATTAATCTCGCAGAATCCATCATACCCTTACCGAGACAATGCTTTTTCTTCTAGCAATCTCGATAGAACTGAGCCTTCTCTGGGCCATCAGTTAATGGGTTGATCGGGCCACTTTCCGGGCCGGATTAATGGGTCAGGGTGTGGGCCGGCTCTGATACCATGATAAGTTTCTTGGGCTTCCAACTTAAAACCAATTGGTAATTAGTGGATTGGTCCAAGTCCCTTATATATTACTCAAGTCCCTTACATATATTCGATGTGGGATCTTTATCCCAACAGTTGGTCTACGTGGCAGACACATTGAGCCATGTGGCAGACGCATTAAACTTTTTTTTTTAAAAACCGTTGATTCAGAACCATGAGCCATGTGGCTAAGTATAGCTGCGTTCTTGGTTAAACCTAGTGAAGACAGAGGAGTAGTCTCGTTTTTGAGTCACTGGATCAATCCCCATCTTAACTAACCGTTTCTTCAAGTGAGTGTTCCAATAGTTCTTGATCTCGTTGTCTGTTCTCTTCGGCAAATGAGTCGCTATTGCCGACCATCTAGTGTTATAACAACAACAAGAAAAGTTTAAGACAAAGGCCTTGGAAAGAAGCAAGAGATTGTTTGTTTGGAGAGACCTGTTTCCTAACAGAGCATGGAGTTGTATAATGGTTTGTTCTTCTTGTAAGTTGAATTCGCCTCTTTTGATGTCAGGTCTTAAGTAGTTAGTCCATCTTAGTCTGCAACTTTTGCCGCATCGGTGAAGACCTGAGAGAATAAGGAAGCATACATGAGAGAAACTTTTGAATATATATGGAAAGATGATAAGAGAGTTTCATGAACCAGCTTTCTCAGGCAATGAACGCCAACTTCCATGTCCATGTCCATGTTCTTCAATATAAGCCAAAAGTTTCTGATCTTCTTCTGATGTTCATGGTCCTTTCTTCAAACCCAATTTGTCGCAGCATGGTGATTTACCCATTTTATTACATAACTAAGAAGAAGAAGAAGAAGGTAATGAGAGATGTCTCATTGATAACATGATCATCATCACCATAAGATCACAAAGAAAATGGACATTTTGGCTACAATTGTAGAAATGTTACAAGTGAAGTATATCTGAGTGATGAAGGATGATATATAAAGGTGAGGGATAGACACACACAACACAAGAAAAAGAAATGCATCCCCCTTTTCCCGGCTCTTTCACATGGTTGAGTATTTATTAGCAATGGGGTCTTGAGAAAATATTACCTTTTATGGTTTGAAGACTTGGAAAACAAGTCCCCTCACTAAATAGCTCATGCAAGAGAGAGAGAGAGACACACACACACAACAGCAAATAAGAAGTGACCTTTTATCACCTACCACTGTTAATTTCTTGTGGTAGAAGTAAATTCAGGTCGCTGCTATAGCTATTGTCTGTTTCAATAGCACTCATCTCTTTGATGATCTTGTATATCAAAACTTTCAACTATCTTTTTGTAGACTATTTTGAAAAAGAAGCATTTGATTTGTTTTAGCTACCCTCAGTTTACTTTTACAGGTAGTCTAAAGTCCTTAAAGTCTTCCACAACGTTCTCATTGTTTTCCTCTCTATTTATGTAACAAACTGGTTTCTATTTTACTTTTTTCTCCCATCAACGTTTACTAGAAAGAGTAAATTAGTAAAAAAAAGGTGGTGACTAAAAGGAAACTAACACTACAGTAGCAAATCAATGAGACAGAGAGCATACAAGTAAGAGATGATTTAGTAGATACCAGTAAAAAAAAATTATGCAAAGACTTTCTTCTTCACTCCATTGTTTCATTCTCTGAGAATGGTAAAATTCTATCATGTGTAAGCAAACTAATAAAAACATGTTTACCAAAAAAAAGTAACATATTTACCAAAAAAAAACTAATAGAACATTATGACTACAACAAAAGTCACACGTAACACTACATTAGTAATGCACTAGATAATCCCTCTAGCATATACAGAAATAGTCTTGGTTTAAATATAGTTGTGTGGAGAAAGGTATCTTCCACAATAGCATTTCATTAAAACAACGTATTCTGAATCTTTCGGTCATCTTCTAAGAACACAATAGCATTTCAGTCCATATAGTACCATATAGTTATGGTACCTTGCAGGTGTACAAATGTTATCAGCATGGTAAATGATCCTGCCAAGAAATGAAGGGCAACGGTGACACTAAATAGATATTATTGGACCATGAAACAAGGGGAGGAGTAGCTAAATGTGTTCCATGAAGGAAAAAATAAGATGAATTTATTGAGGTGGGCTTCAAGCTTGTGGGGGATAAGAAGTATCTTCATCGAATCAGAGAACGGATAAGACAAAATCATAAAGTTTTGTACAAATAAAAAAAAAAAAATCAGATTTTATAAGAAAATAAAATGAAAAAATGAGTAAATGTGAATAAGAAAGTTGAGGGAGAGATCAAGGATGAAAAGAAAATCATATTGGCTTCAAATGATGTAAAGGACAATGGGGACAAACCTTTATAAATGTCTTCCTGGCTCCATAGTGACAGCTTCTACAACTTTGTATGGTCCTAACATACTTCAATATTGCCTTCATAGATGATGCCACTTGTCCATGGCTTCCCACAATTGATGCTACATATCTCCTGCATTAGTGTACTTGATCAGACATTGCGAAATTCAAGAAGTCACACCTGTGAAATTAAAAAAAAACCTGAGCCTTAAATCAGCTATGCGAGAAGAGAGTACTCTGCATTATGTTCAATCTGAAACACCTGACTGAAAAGATTTTATCACTTTTAACAGCAGAATCCTTGTGAAAACGTAATTAAACAGAGTTTTTGTCTTGTCCATCATCGATTATGTTTGACTTCATCATCCTGGATTCAGTATAGATTATATAATGCCTTGAGGACAATAAGATATTGTGGTAACTAATATGTAAAGCACACATAACTTTGACAGAGTAACTCCTTGCATAAATCACATAGAAAATTACAATGGAGATGAGAAAAGTAAAAACAGAAATTGCACACACTTTTTTACACACCAAACAATGTATTTCAAGTTAAGACCAGATCTTCAACGGCGTCTAGAAAGAGCAATAGCCGATAGGCAAATGAGAAGAATGAGAAGAAAAACTGCGATGAAAGATCCAATCAAAGACCCTGAGATACGCTCACAGAAAGAGTTGAACTGCTGACAGACAGCGAACCAGTTTGTGTTATTGTTCCCATTGTGTGCCAAGTAGACAATAGCTGCTGCTGCGGATGCTCCAGAAGCTAAAAGACCCACCATTGCCTAAAACATGAGGAGGAAACAACCATAAGCTAACGACAAGGCACATCCCTTATGAGACAAGACAAGTTTAGTTTGCGTGATGGCTTACCACATCAAGAACGATAAGAAGTATTCTACTGTTCTCTGTCTTGTTCTTGATGATGTGGACAAATGCTAAAGGTAGAGATAAGATGAGGTAGCCACTTACAATAGCATTCGCAACCACAAAGAACCTGTTTGATCATTCAAACCAAATTACAAAAAAAAAAAACTCTTCAAGAATTAATATAGAAAAGAGATAAAAGGAGGGTAAAAGAATCAAAAGTCATATACGTTAACGCCGGAAGATCGTTGTAATCGGCATGGAACCGTATGAACTGAGTAAAGAAAGGCAGAGTTTCATTTGTTGTTGCCATAAGGATTGCACTACTTATGGTGTTGAAAAAGGCAATGATCCTTAGTAGAAACTCAAAAATCGCGACTCTTCTGCTCATCAAACCTCTCTTTTGGATGCCTTTGCTTGTTTCCACGATCTCAGCCTGACCAGACTTCATTTTCTTCCTATTCGTGAAGGGTTTTTAGGTTTCTTGTGTAGGAAGTTCGGGCTATTTAAGTTTCTTGGGACGGAAGAATGAATAGTTTGGTGAGGGCTAAGGGCAATGACTGAGTGTGTATATATATTGCATGCATGTGGGACATATAGTGGTTATGATAAGGTCATTATCGCGATTGTACTTGCTAAAGGTATACTTTTTTAGTGTTATATAATTCCATTGCACTCTCTATTCTTTATGGATCTTTACATTTAACCTTCCTAATCCACCAAACCAACATAAAACCTTTCCAGATTTGGAGAACATAAACTATGTCCAATTTTGTATAAAAATCTTGATCTCAACTTTTAAAAGGTTTTTGGTTAAAGGAACCATGCATGTGGAGTAGTTAAACATTATACTTGATATAGAGAGCGATAAGTTAGAATAATGGAATTAGCTATGTTGGCATATGATTTAACAAACCCCACTTTCTGTAAACTACTTTGAAATTTTGCAAATCTCCAGAGAGAAGCAAATTAAAAACTAAAGTTCCCAAATGATCGGACATGTTGAAACCCAAGTGGTTCTATGTGTCAAACACATAAATTGATTGATTATAGAATTAGATATCTGTATATATAATCACCAAACACAACCATATCAAACTGAAGCAGGACACCTAACCCAAATGAAAATACTAAAATATTTACAAAAGTATGTAGGCTTTTTGAATTTGATATGCCTATCACGCTTTTGAGCTGGCTGATTATCTGTTGCAATTTGGGTTATTTATTAAGTAGATATTAGTTACATTCATTATCTTTCCCAGTATAATCTCTCACATATAAGTAGTTTAAACTGTAAACAAATATTTACTGATCCAAATAGTTTTACAAAGGGAAAAAAAAACTAAGCAGTTCTAACATCCTTGGAAAGGGTTGAATTAATATAATTTCTTCCACCAATTTAACTAACTCGTCATTCAACATTCTAAATATCAAGAGATTTCTCGGAGATAGGCAAACAACCGGGTGGTTTAAGCAAGAAAACCGGACAGTCATAGAACTGAACCGTCTTTGGAATGTTTTCAAGATGGCGAGATGAATCTGACAAGGATTAGTGATCGATCAAGAGATTGGTTTCCAACGACGAGAATCTTTCAGAGATAGTAGCAACCTGTCTCAAGTGCTGGCAACAGCTTAACCAAAAAATATAATGAAGAGAGAAGAACTGTATCTACCTTTTCATGTGGACCAAAAGGAACAACAGCTTGATGCCCAAGTGGCTGATTAACCTGAATAATGTCGTCAACAAGAGCCGATAGATATTCACTCATCGCTTTCCCTGCATATGATCTTTAAGGACTTTGAAAGATAATATCAGGTAATATTTTGCGATACCAAAACCTGTCAGAGAGATGCTTACGCATGCTGAAAAACCAGAGCACTTAACATAAACTATATAATTCATACAAATGGAAATAAGCATCGCCAAACTAAAGGTTTCTGAATCTGATCCGAGGAAAGAAAGATGATAGATAGACAACATTACAGGGAGGCAACTAAATATGGTTCAACGGGTAGGAGAGCTTGGTAGTACTTTGGTTACATGGAAATTTTATGAAACAAACTTAAATATGTCAACAACATCGGTTCTCCTAGGTAGAGTTTGGTGGTTCAGCTTTGTCATCTTGTTTTGTGGAAAGGCTTCAGCTGTGGACTGTGGGGTTGGCTTCAGGCTTCAGGATCTCACACTGTTTTAGTGGGACGGGGAAAAAGGTCACAAAGGGCAAAAAAGCAGTGTATCAGAATCTGATACCGGGGGACAGATCAGATTATCTAATGAACTTGGGGCAAAATAGCTTAGGTAAACTAAGTTAAGGACTTAAAACAAATCATATCGTAAGCTAACCTTTTTTCATCCACCAATAGCTTCTAATAATCATAGTTTCTGCGTCGATGGGCAGATGAATGGCTGGATAACCTGATGACAAGGATCAACCACCAAGAGTTGTTAGGCAATAGGCAACAAGTATGTGTAGTAAGTACATCGACTTTAGAAATTGTTGGTATGGTGTTATAAAATACAGCAGGGAAGAAATAGTCTCACCCAGAACTGCCACTGCGTCCAGATGCATAACCACCATACACTCCATATGGAGTACTACTACTACCACCAACCTAAAAACACGTCCAAATAGTCATTGACAGAGAACTGATATGCTGAAAAAACATGTCAGGGAACCTTTTAAGCAGACATACCGGTGCACCATAAGGCGAATAACCTTCAGCGGACAAACCACTTGAGCCATAATGATTCCCACGTTCAGGTCTTCTGCTATCTCTTCTATCATAGTCAAATCTATCACCAGCATCTGGTGCTACTGGAACATAAGGCAAGACCGGCATTATTGCAGAAACAGGTCCTTCCCTGTCAAAAACGTTGGCTCTTAATCTTGATGTAATTTGTATGAGAGCTTCCTTGGCAACATCAAGTTCTCCGGAAATCTGATTATCAGAAGTTGCTACTAATGTTAGAAGCTCCACGCGAAGAGCTTTAAAGTTGAAAAGATGTAAACTGCAATGGCTATGTTATTTGTGAATATTACCTGAACCATCTCATCATCTTCAGATGCAACTTTCGGAAGATTTTCCTTCCCGAGAACACGGATGTTAGCTCTAGTCATTCTTCTCATCTCAGTAATGATAGCTCCTCCTTTACCAAGAAGACAACCAATCCTAGAGCTTGGCACAAGAATGCGAGTGGTAAATTGAACAAGTCCAGAATCTCTTTCAACCCTCTCGCTGCATTTTGGCTGCAGACGCATAGCTGCTTCTATGGTTGGGGAATACGCATCGTCAAAAACCTGAAACAGATAAGATAGTAGTGTCAAGGAAGAAAAACTATATTTACAGAAGACCATTGAAAAAAAAAGTCAAACCTCTCTTGCTGATATAGTTATCAAACAATCATTTCCTTCGGTTCTAGTGCTATCAACTTTAATGGTTGCTCTGGTCTCCTGTCGAAGCTGGTTGATTAGAGCACCACCTTTACCAATAACACTTGCAATGTTCTCAACGGGCGAAACCAGCCGAATATAGAAATCTGTTGCCGGTGGCTCATTTCTCCGAGTCTCATACAAAGGGCGTCCAAAATCTCCGGCATGATCACTTTTGTATCCTCCATAAGGATCCATCAGCGGTGCTATCCCCACAATTCGAGGACCACCCGCATGACTCATGAGTGAACCAGAAGGATATGCACCACCGGCGACTGCAGAAGAAAGTAGGTTCTGAGTACGTGAAGGATTTTTATGAAGGCGGGAGGCAATCTGATGCAGTGCCTTCTTAACAAGTAGCACTTCTCCAGATATCTAGAAATAAAAAAGAGATAAGCTAAGTGAACATAGTGACCATAAATGTTGACTGAAGACAAGGCAATAAAAGTAAACACACATAACACAACCACATACTCCCTCTTTCTTATGAAGTCATTTTAACATTTTTTTCTTGTTACACAGAGACTGTCATTATAGAATTCCAATGCAATTTTCAGCTAAATATTAATTACAAATGCATTGATTTTATAAATAATTTTATTTATCTCCAATACTATTGATTGAATATCTATAATTAATAAGAACTTATACTCTTTCTGTTTCATTATAAGTGTCACTGTGCACACGGATTAAAGAAATAATTAATTTTACATATTTTCTATATAAAAACACAGTTGCCTATACACCGAACCATATTTTAACCAATAGAAAAACTAATACATAGTTAAATTAATAAATTTTGCATTGAAAACCGAAAACGACACTTATTTTGTAACGCAAAAAATTATCTACAACGACACTTATTTTGTAACGCAAAAAATTCTCTACAACGACACTTAATATGAAACGGAGGGATTAATCATTTTCTTAATCTGTGTGAAAAGTGTCAAAGTGAAACTCTCAGCAAAACGGAGAGAGTTTGTTCTTCTCAAGTTACCTGAATGAGCTCATCTGAACTCAAAGCACAAAGAGGCATGTTCCTATCCTTAACAATCCGAATCTGAGCACCAGTCTCACTCCGAATATTCTGCACAATCTGACCACCTCTCCCAAGAACACATCCAATCTGATCAGAAGGAACAAGCATCTTCGCAATAACTTGCTGCTCTCCCTCAGAACCATCTTCACTCCGCGCATCAACATCCGCAGCAACTCTATCATGAATCCTGAACAAAGCCTCCTGAGCAGGAGCAAGAGCTTCCTCTCCCTCTCCAAACGTCTCATCACTAGCGCTAAAGATCGTAATCACTCGCTCGTCGCATCCGGGAACAGCTTCACCTATCTTAATCTTCGCTCTAGTCTCCATCCTCAGCTGCTTCACGATATCTCCTCCTCTACCGATAACGCTCCCGATCTTTTTGATCGGGCAGAGGTAACGGAACACAGTGTCGTCACGATCGATCGCGTGCGAGTCTCTATCGTCTCCGCCGTACCTCCTCTTGCTTCTTCCGCCATCGTCGTCGTGGTCGGAGTGGGGACGAGACCTCTTCCGGTGGCTATCTCTGTGATCCGGTGACATTGTAACTTCCAATCACATATTAAATCGAATAATCAGAAAGCGAAATACATAGCAAATAAATGTGAGCGATTCATAATCGAAAATTAGAGTAAGGAAACACTAATCTAGCAAACGAATAGCTATCAAAGTAACGGAGACTGAGAATAATGAGTAGGTGGAGAGCGAGAGCTAGATCTAGATTACGATCTATGATGATGCGTATGGATTGGGAGGGAGAAGAGAGTGCGAACCTTGTGATTCAGATGACGAAAATCGATTTGGGGTTAATTGAAATCTATTAGGGTTTGCGCGGACTTTTTAATCGGTTGGTTGTGTATAACAGTATTTGTGTATTTTTCAGGTTTTACTAATAGGCATCTAGATTTTTAACTATTTTCATTATATCCCCCTTTTGTTATCGCTTATCTGTTTAGACCCTTAATCTAAAAACACTATTTAATTGTTTTTTTTTAATAATAAAAACTTATGTTACATGGAAACGGAAGCGGCTGCGTGAAGCAGAATCGTATGGAAGCGCGGAAATAAGATTTTTTAAAAAAATTAAGAAGCGGATACGTGTTGGAAGCGTATATCCAAATATATTTATAAAATTTATAACTAAGAATTATATGATTCTAATTTAAAATAAAGCATTTATTCATTTATTATAATTTTAAATGATTGCATATTATAATTTTGAAATACTGATAAATTAAATTTATTAAAATATTACCAATTAGTTATTTTTTACATTTATAAATAATGTACACCATATTTGAATATATCTATATATATGTATAATATCTCTCTAATAAAAACAGCACATACATATGATTATAGTATTTATATTAGTATTTACATATATATATATATATCACTATATATACTATTATATATTATATAGCATAAAAATGATTTTATATTTTATTTATTTATATATGATATTGTGTTTTTAAATTGAAAGCGTGATTCCAAAGTGAAATCGTAAGTTTAGAATGTGTATTTATATAGGATATTTTAAAAACGTTTTAGAATCGAGATTCTACAAATTTTTACAAGAGATTTTGGTTCTGAAGCGGGGAGTGCACGTTCGATGAAGCTTCCGTGCAATGTAGATATTCCTTCCTGAGGCACTGATATTCAAAAGGCTGTTAATTTTTCTGTTCTATTTTTCTGTTCTATTTTTCTTTACCATATTAGAAACTAGTTGAACTCAATTGGGGTGTTTGTTAATTACTATGGACAAAATGTGTTAAGTTATGAAAGAAGAATAGAAAAATTGCAAATGTAATGATTTGATTCGTGAAGTTCTAAATGTTTTTAACAGATATATATGCATGAAATTGCAAATGTAAGGATTTCTTTAGTAGTTTTGTAAAAGTAATACAAGAACAAAAACTGTTTCTACTTTTCTTTTCTTTTTTATTATATTTTTTTTACTCGACACTTTCCCTTTCATTCACTCCATTTTAATTACTTTTGTTTATTCCATTATGACCAATCAACCCCTAATTCTTCGTTATTATTTTGATTTTCTGATTGATAACTCTTAATACAATGGAAAAAAAACTCTTAAGACAATGACAAATATTTCCCAAGTGCAAAGAGTAAGACAACAACAATTGATGTGTCGTAACAGTTTAAGTCATAATGGCATTTTACATGCGTCCATCACCACCAATCAAATCAAACAAATATGTTTACAGTTTGAACTCATATTTAAACAATTGAGAGAGTAAAACTTAACTTACAAAAAAAAAATTCTATAAACTGCATATTGTCATTTTATTGGAAAATATCAGATATCAAAACTTTTTGGCTTTATAAATTATGAAAATGGAGGAGATTGAGGAGGAGGAGTGGCAACGAAGCCATTCCAATTTGTGTTAGACCCCGGCAGCTGATAATCCGTCAGCTCCACCATCTTCCGCACAATGGTATCCTGTAATTTGAAAATATGTCATAATATCAATATAATTCTCTATTTCAACTTAACATGGACAATAATATGCTTCTTATTTTCTTTACATCCAATAAAAGTTTATGTAATTAGAAGAATTGAATTAACATGGATAATAATATGTTTCTTATTTCTTTAATTCTTTAACAAAAAAAAAAGAAGAATTAAATTAGTTAATTAACAGAAGTGGAGAACAATTGAGTACCTTGGAAGGAGATAGCTCAACAGCACTGTAAACTTCTGATACACTTGCTGTACGCAAGTTTCTTCCCATGGCTTAACATTCCAGAAACAAATATCATCAGGGGTGTACATACTCAAATCCCAGTAAATATAATTAAGGACCAAAAACATAAAGACTAAATATTATTCTAACAGTGTAATCAAGAAGAAGGTGGCATTAGCTATTACCAGTTGAGAGAAAGATTAGTAGTAATAGAGAGGAAACAGTAAGCACTTTGAAGAAACGAGATCGACCCATTGTTGTCTGTTTGACGTTCTGAAGATTTCATTTATAATATTGAACTTTTGTATTATTATTTTGATAATCAAATTGGTTAGTTATTAATCCATTCTTGTTATAATAGTAATACTTTAACAGGAGTAAATAAAAAAAAGGAACCTTTATAGTTTCAAGGTTTACCACTTTTCCTCGAAGCTGCTTCAGCTTCAGATCCAATGAAGAAGGTGTGATTAGTTTGATTAGAATATCAATAGACTTAATTTCAATTTAAATTGCTCGTTGATTATTATTATGGAGCAAAGTCGCACGTATGGTTTACACGAGTAACATAATGACTCCACGTGATATGAACTGGAGTCAAGCTCCGTATGTCTGCCACTACCAAATAGTATCAGTATTAACCGCGTAAATAAAGAGTCAGATTTTTTTTTAAACCCGTGAGAATGATATGAAAGCTGCCATATTGTTTTTAATAAAGCAACACTTTTCGTATAAAATTATTTAAGTTAGGTTATCATCCACGAGGTTGGCAATATAGGAAGTATTGGGATGGAAAAACTAAAGCAGTTTGAGAAGAAGAAAAACAAAAAACAAGCAACCAAACAAAAGTAACACATTTTTCATGATTATCGTGTACTTATAGTTAAAAATAAAGCTTTGACTTAAGTTTGAATTGAATATTATCGGAGGTACAGCCAAGGAAGGGGTCAGTTGACTAAAATTTCTGAGAAACAAAAAATTTTAAGTTAGTTGTCATTTTTGGTAAATATTGTATAATTAGCCTAATGACTCCTTTAATATTTGTTGAAGATAAACTTGAATCCACAATTTTTAAGTTAGTTGTCATTTTTCTTCATTGTCAAATATAGATTTTCACAATTTTTATTAATTTCTTTTTATTTCCAGCAATCAAATAATTATTTTTATTAACATTTATTTAACAAAACTTGTTACATAAGGTTGTAAATTTAAAACACTACAGTGTTCTAAAATTCTACTATTTTTTATATATGATTAATTATTTAATATATTTAATAACTAATAACAATTTAATTTATATTTAACTATAAATTAATGTTGACCCTGGTCAGTATTGTGGCAGTGGTGGAGCCAGCTTGTGGCACATGAGTCATTTGACCGAGGTGAATTTATGGAAAAAACAAATTTACATGTATACTTCTTAGCACAACTAGGAAAATATTGTAAAGTGTAGTTAATTGATCCTTATATATAATGTATTAATTATAGTTGACCCTCTTGAATATTTTTCTAGCTCTGCCACTGAGTATTCTATTGGGAGGTTGGAGGTTCCTGGTACTAAGAAGGTCAAGAAATGAATAGCGGAAGGTTTGATACATGTAATGATGATGATTATACACTAATTAGCTTATACACACACAAACTGATATAGGTTGATCTCTATGTGTGTAAATAAATATATAGAAAAATGGTTTCGTTTTTTTTTTCGTGTCTTTAATGTGTTCTCGTGTTTCTCGATTCGGTGCTTTTTGTTCCGACTACCTCCATGGTTTGTGATTCAAGTCGTTACCTTTGTGCTTGCTAGATGTGATATGGTAGAGTAGAGTACGGTTAAGTCGGTTATGTCGGTTGAGTTGATATATATTAGAGATAAGTCCATATCGTTATGTGATAAGGATGAGTAGATATTATACGATACTGAGAAGATCTTGTGTAAGAGTTATATAAACTCATTGTACGTTGTGAATAAGAACTTGAACGATTCCAGTAACATTCTCTCTAAGTTTACAGTGCTCTTTGCATTTCTGTTTCTCTGGTTGGGAATTCTAGCATAAATGATAAACTTTTGGGACTGTTATTTCCATTACAGAACATCTCTTGAACTCAGAAAATTTATGTTCTTCAGTCTAGAATTGTGTTAAAGCCAACGTCGAGTATTTAAAGTATGTTTCTTGTAACAAAAGTAAAGCTAATTTTGAGATGAAACAAAACACAAAATAAATGTTCGAGAACATTGCATGAGTATACGAAGCCAAGCAAGACTTTGAAGAGATCATTAAATTCTTGAGAACACCATAGAAATTCTCAGCCTTGGAGGCTAAAATCCCAAGAGGTGGTTTTGTTGACCAGAGCCCTGGGAGTTTCGGGAAAGACTATTGGCCAAGGCCACAACCCATAGCATCGGGGGGAAATTTTTTTGTGATTTTAGTAAAAGAACGTGCAAGAAAATACATGATGGGCTTCTCGAGATTGAGCTAACTAGAAAATCAACAATAGGCACTAGAATAAGGAAGTCATTTGTATGTTCTTTTTTGCATTTCTATATTTCAACTTTCGGTTATTGTATATTTGTTTGAGGGAAAAAAAATTCGAACACAAAAAATATTTATTAAAATACTAGGACCGGCCCGGGCTACGCCCGGGTTTTTCGTTGAAATTTTAATTATATATGTTATATGTTATTTTAATATATAAATATTATAATCTATTATAAAATATAAGTTGTTAGACAATCATATAATTATTTTTAATTTTTTTTTTTTGTCTATTGAATTTAAAAAAATTTAATATCTAAATTTTGTATGACATAGATTATTAGTATGTGTATTGCGTAGAATTGTTGTGTATTGTGGCTCGTCTCGATTTTTGTTTCTTTATTTGTTGTATGTTATTATTTTATTTTCAATTTTTTTGTAAAATATTATTTGGTTATTTATTACTCATTTTTATTATTTGAATATTTTATAATTATTCTAAATTTCATCTTATTTACCTAAAAAAGAAAGAAAATTTAGTGTGTGGATCTTTTTTCTTGGGTTTGATAAAATGTAAAGGAAAACAATATGATAATATATTTTTAGTCTTTCCGAACATTATTTTTTGTGTAAGAATAATTTTGCATGACATGTGTCACTTTTTCGTCATTTTATTTAGTGACATAGCATTACTTACCTCGTTATATAAAACTTAAAACAAACACTTGACAAAATTTACAGTTCACTTAGCTATTCACGTACATTCTTTTTTTCCATCGTCTCCCATATATGAATATCAAGTGGTGATCGAGTTTGAGTCATTCACGTATATTCTTATAATTTGAGTTGTTTCGTTTGCAATTTATGTGTTTTCTTTTACATGTGAATAAAGCTCAGAGAAGTTTACAATGTTGAAATATTAAAATATTTAAGATTTGCTAAAGATATTTTACAAAACAAAATGCAAAAAGCCTGAACACAAACAGAGTGAACTTAAAATATTTGTTGTGTACATTAACAAATGAATTTACTTCAGATACTTATAGTTGTGGATTCATTTAGAATAGGTAAGTAACACTAAATCCATTTCTTTTTTTAAAAAGCAGATGCAAACGTTACGAAACCTTCAGTTTCATTTGAAACAATAATGAAAGAAGCATGTGTTTAAAGGAAACTTTGATAACAAATATAGATGTGATGGTGTTTCGATTTCCATGCATCTGGGACAGGTTGCCTCTGAACCAATTCATCTACGTTGTCGGTTGCTCCCAAGAGGTAACGCTATTTGCGCCACAGCCCAGAGACGCGATATTTGTTTGAGTTACATGAGACTTCTATATTAATATTTTATATCATATGTGCTTCCATGTGTTTTTTTTTTGTAGGGTTATTATGCATTGTGGTGCTTGTCTTCACTTATATAACTTTCTTAGAAATAAATTTTGGTGTTTTTTTGCATATAGTTATTTTATAACTATTTATTAGAGTTTTTCCATGGGGCTCATCCAAATTGTATAACTATTTATCATGGGGCTAATTCAAATTGGATAACTATATATTTGAGTTTTTTTTTCTGAAGAAATTTATTTATTTGCTCTAATTTTAAAGAGCAAAAATGGTGTTGTGGCACCATTTAACTTCCTTTAAAAAATATGTTGATGATTTATTTGTTACAATATGTATCATGTATGGTATTTTTTATTTTATTTATCAAATTTTGTTACTTTAGAAAAATATATTTTGATTAATTATTGCTCTATTTTCCTCACTTTTTAAATTATTTTTTTCTAAAATTGAGTTTGGTAACCACAGAAAATTATTTGTAATAACTTTTTCGCCAGTTGAGTTTGATAAACTTAATATATATATCTTGTATACATTAGGATATTTACAGACGAAAAATTCTTGTTTTATTTGTTATATCATATTATTTTATTTGTCAAACTGTTTTTTTTGTAAAATATTTGTTTTGATTATTTACTGAAGCTTCATAATTTTTCACTTAGTTATTCCTCTTGCAAAAAAAGATTGTATTTTCCTTCTACAATATTTGTTTTGCGCAGGAGAAACAAACCAATCATTTACAAACATTTAAGGAGAAAGTGAAGACACCCGATGTCCCATGCTTCTTTGATCTGATTAGCGTGAAGGATGGGAGGGTGAAACTTCTATATTACAGAGCCTTAGTAAACACCGGCGTGGCATAAGATATTGATTCCTAATCAGGTATATTAAATTTTCTCAATAAGACTGGTTAGAAATATTATTTTATGGCCTTAGTACATATGAACTAAGCTAAGCTCAGCTGATATAATGAAAATGAAGATGAACTATTAGATACAATTTGTAGGGAGCACGTATAGCGTATGGTGGGAACGAAGAATCTCAAATTGTGACTCTTGGCAGCCCTCTCTTTGAAAAAACTGCTACCATAAGTGGAGCGAGACGCAGGCCACGTATGGGATCTCTATTCGAGCCACTGGTGTTCCAAGCAAATTTGTTGTTAATGCAGAAAATAAGTTTTCCAGAATTGTTGACATGTTAAGCAATATCCATGAAAAGATTGGAGATTCTGGTGAGACAATACCGAGCTGCTGAAAATAATGTCTCTCACCTGGTGATGGAGCTGACAAAAGGTTAAAGAGATTAAAGTTTCCTTTAATGAAATCAAATGTTGATTTTCTCCATTTAATATATCAAAAGTTTCCACAAATAGCATAACTAAAATATAAATTGATACTGAAAATCACAGAGATTTTAAACTCCAAGCTTAATGAGATCAATGATAAGACGTGGAGAACAAACGGCCACATCAACACCATAGGACACTGATTCTTTACACAATGTTGCTTACCGTCTTGCAAAGACGAATTCTGGCAAACACATATGTTGTCATATACTGAAAAGTTCTTTACTGATATCAATGGCATAAAATATTAAGTAAGCTTCAGTTTAAGGTTAAATAAGAGTAAAGAAAGTGAAGTAAAGCCATACCTTAGCGTTAGCATGAACAACCTTGATGTATAGATGGAACTGTTATTTCTCGTCCTTAGGTTCTGAAGCTTCTGATTCTTAGATGATGGAATGCGACCACTACACACGGAAAAGTGCATCCTGCATAATTAGAATGTAAGTAGAGTTGTTCTTATTTCTAAGCATGTAAATAAACAACTAAAAGGAAAGTACCTTATCTTCAGAATAAGATCCTAACAGAGTCCATAGCTTTCCCATCATCTGTGTATTCGTTGGAATCATTAATTAAACTATCCAATGCATACACGATCTCTAAAATTTTAACCTATCCCCACCATAGAAGAAATCAGGCTTACCTTTTCAAGTGTAGCACAAATCATGTAAAACAATAGTTTCTTTCAGGGTACGAAACTTGACAAACCCACAACCTCTCAAACAAATATGTCATGGTAGTAGCTCCAGAGATTCTTCCTCTATTGTCGTACTAAATCAACACCAAATTACTAAAACAACTGCGATGTAGGATATGCCTAAGTATCTTAAATATAGGTTCAAGGGAGTACAATTGAAAAGGGGAAAATTAATAAACTCGAGACTTACTCCACCTTGAAGTATTCTTTCTTGCGGTTTTTGCATTGCCAAAAGCATTTAACATGGCTTCAAAAACACTTTGAACATGAGATTTACGAACATAAATCACTCTCAACATGAGTTTAAGAACAGATTTACCTGTGAATCCAGTAACATCATATCAAGAGACATCAGTTCCCCACCACGTTTGACATTCCTGGCTTCCCAGAATGTGAGCAACCCACTTGAACGGTAGAGGAGCAGAGTGAGAAAAGAACTGGAATGGTGAGGAGAAAGGGAAGGAGGTACCTCTATATATATACAGATCTCCACCGACTACAAACGGATCAGAGAGTATTGATTAGAGATCGTGGGGGTGGGTTTAATTATCGAAGAAATCTGTAACATCTGCGAAGGAAGAGGAAGCGACGATGGAGTGAGGAGTTGAGTGGTGGGTCGTCCATGGCGGCTGGTATGCGTAGCAGAGGGAGAACCCTATTTGGGAGAGACGACACGGGAAACGGGCCGTGGGCCGTATGGCTTTATCTGAAGCCCGTGTAAAATTAAACGTGAGAGGCCCAGGTTAACCATAACACGTGTCTACTTTCTGAGGAGGTATTATCCTACGTGGCTTTACCGTGAGTGAGTGAACTTTAGTTTATAGTAATAGATGGGGTTATTTGTGAAATAACCATAGAAAAAAAAGAAATTAGTTTTGTAGAGAGAGAGAGTAGAGAGAGAAATAGGAAGAGAAAAGAGGAGAGAGGGTGAAATTGGTTAGTTAGTTAATTTTGAGTTTTTGTTTGGTTATTGGGTGCAAATTCTCTTAAAATATCATTCATGGCCACTCTCAATTTTTTTAACGGATTTGTAACAACAATCCCAGAGGAGTGACATAACATTACAACATTAGGAATAAGATAGAGAGATAACAAAAACATACAATGATTGATCAAAAGCTAAATAAACTATCATCGGCAATTTTTATTATTTCAAAACGATTAGGGAATGTTTTTAAGGGCATTTTGGTCCACCCTCTTGGGTTTTCCAGTTGTTGTAGCAAGAGCAGACTTGTTTGTTCCCATAGTACCCCGGAGGCACACACAAACACTTTCTGCAGCATTTGTTGCAGAACAAAATGCAAGCGTTGTGGTACTGTGTCTGGCTACATCTCCTATCGCATTCTTTGGGACATTCTGATCATTTCACACCATCATATGTTTTAGATATAAAATTAACTGAATCTAGTGAAAAATAACAAAGAAACTTTCTTTTCTTTTTTGAACGTTTTTGGGTCCCACGACAGTGAGTTGCTTTGACTCTTGGCCACTAATCACGGGTAAATTTTTCACTATCAAAATTATTTGAGCGGCTGCATATCTGACCAAACAGTCCATTTAGTCATCCACTTTCAACTTTTACTTTTTTCCACTTTCAACTTGTTCATCTGTTTCTTCAATTATCGATCTAGTTTTCAAAGTTAAACTACATTATTTAAGAACAAACTGTGAAGTGAACACTTACGGGAAAGTTTCAAGCTTCCAGGTCCATAACGTTTCTGAATATTATCCAAAAAGTAGAAAGTCATCAGTCACATTTGTTAAGAGATAAATAGGTAAAAGATATTAATTTTAAAGGCGTTCAGTTTGAAGAGTAAGGCTTACCAGGTTATACTTCAGTCTAGATCCACTTGAGGCCATAACCTAAAGACCAAATAGAGTTCAAGAACGTTTTAATCTCATAAACAAGGTAATCTTTAAAGTATCAAACCCATGACTGAATCACATTATTTTTATAAATTCAACAGGAATCTATGTGAGATGATTAATATAATGAGAGCTTACCATGGTTTGAAGCAAGGAGAAGACAATGAGGGCCAAGAGGAAGAGAGCTCCATATGACTTAGCCATGTTTTGTTTAGGATATTATTATCCAAAGAACCAAACACTCCTCTAAATATCTCAAACTAGTTTGAGGTTTGAAAAGAAGTGTGTACTGAGAGAGGAGTTTTGGTTGAGGACCCTATGATGTTGCATATAAGCTATATATACACACTTACTTGCTTCTACTAAATTATTCCGTGCGGCGGTACATATCGTATTTACAGTATTCCTCCAACAGAAATCTGACACGTCTACATTTTGTCACTTGCTATAGGTAACTAAACTGTGGTTGATGGTTGCACTTGCACATGACTTAAGAAAGCTTAAAATAGTTTTGAATTGTAAAAGAACTTTCACTAAATTTAGGCGTTTCTAAATCTAATAGAGATACTAGTAGGTTTGCAACCTCACAGATTATCAGAAATTTTAAGAAGATAATTATCATTGTCTCTTTGACCCCAAAAAGGTTAACCAGTATTATATTCTGAGGGGGAAAAAAAAGGCGGTGCGTGTTGAAGGAAACGGGAGTTAGATCTGACCAACGGTTTTCCAACTGTAAATTGTAATCGCAATCTTACTATACTTAGTTTTTAATTACTAGCTAGAAACCATTGCTTGATGAAAGATCATGCATGATTGATTAAATATTTTTGTAGAATATCGTCAAAAAATCATTACTCAATTCGTATTTACTAATACTAATTGTTCTTATGTTTTTAGATACCATTAGATCTAGATCCCCCAGGGGTTTTCAGATTGATTGCTTAGCAGATTTCAACCAAATCATTCACATCTATAGTTGAACAAACTCGTGGTAAAGTGAAATAGTAGCATAATGAGTATTCTTGTAGAGTTATTAGTAAAGTGAAATAGTAGCATAATTATGAGTATTCTTTTAGAGTTATTAGCTCTGTATACAGCTGATTTGAGATTTTACATAAGTGCATGCAACATTAAACACACAGATAATTCTAGTTCCACCACTAGATATATCATTTTGCTAATGAAAGAACAATTAAAGCAACTTGAAAATTTGAAAGACATGCAACAACACAAAAACGTATATGACAAATTCATCCACATCCCAACTTGTCTACTGCGTAAATATCAAATCATGTAAAGTTGTTTTTACGTAAAAATACCAAAAAAGATTGAAAAGGAAAAAGAGAAGAAGAAGAGAAGGCATGTGCAGTAAACCAGTTCCACATACTCATCCAATTATTGTTTCGAGTCACTCTGTTAGACGAAAAGGAGGGAACATAGGGATATTTTTGGTTTAGGAAATATTATTTTTCTATAGTGAATAACAAATGAATAAAGGCAATTTTACCGGAAATAATAATAAGTATATTTTTCCGGTTGAATAAAAATGTAGACTTATCTCTAAAATAGTTGATGTGACACAAAATTGATTGCAATGGTTATTATAAGAAATTTGTAGGGTTGGAGAACAGCACGGCCGTAGAAGTGTAGAACCTTTTAAAAAAAAACATTGAAATATCAAAGTATTTGTAGAAATAAGATTTCAAAGCATGTGATATTGATTACTGTCTAAAAAAGCATATAGATCATGCCAAGTTGTTCAAATACATGAATACATATTTAAGAACATTTACAAAAAAATAAAAGATAGTGATCATCATGTCAACTTGTTCACACATTTACATGACATTATAATCTGTGTAGTTTGGTTTTTACGGAATCATTTTTCTGTGTTACAGTGTTGTCAAAGTGTCTCTAACTCTAAAATATTTTTGCATCACACAATGTTACATTCTTCCAAAAAGTTACAGGAAAATTGTGGCTCAGTAACCATGAAAAGTATCATTTATTTGGGTCTTAATTAGTGTTATATAAGTTTCCACGCATAATCATTCTTGCCGTCTTAGTAGGGAAAATTTCATAAAAATTTCCCAACTATATTTCAATAAATTTTTTAATACTCAAATTTTTCGCTATCCAATTTAATATTCAAACTAATTATTTCACCTATTTTAATACACAAATTTATATAATTGTACCTATTTTAATACTCAAACTTTGTTTATTTTAATGAAAATTCTTAATAAGTTTCAAATGAAATTTTAAAAATCTCTAAAATTTACAGGAAAATCTAATTATTTTGAGAAATAAAAGTAAATATATTTGGTATAATCTTAAAATTGTAAATAAAGTTTTTAAATTTAAATATTGAATTTTTTTTTCTAAAATAAAAATAAATCAATTTTTTTCTTCAAAATTAATTTTAATTTTTAAAAAAATTTCCCTAGAGTTTATTTACCTTATTTCCTAAGTCTTCCTGTAAAATTAGAAATTTTAAATATTTTTCTTTGATTTTAGAGTTTTTAAAAAATTTCGTTTGAAACTTGTTAGTATTTTTATTAAATAAAAAATGAGTATTAAAATGGGCACAATAATAAAAAATGTGTATTAAAATGAACAGAATAATTAGTTGGAATATTAAATTGAGTAACAAAAAAATTTGAACATTAAAAAACTTAACAAAATTTAGTTGAGATGTTTTTAAGGAATTTCTCATTTTAGTATTATAAACAGACCAACTTGTAGAAGAGTGAAGTCGAGTCACTTGATACCACAAAAACGGTTAAAACTTTGTTTTGTAAAGAAAATTATTAAAGAATAAATAACAAAATTGGTAAAATACAGTTCTTAAATCCCAAAAACCAAAATTCAATTCTCATCAGTGTCACATTAATGGTTTTTAACTCCACTAATATTTAATCCTCGATCCGCCCCTGGTATTATATAAATTGTTGTCACTTGGGTCACAGAGCATCTAGATGTTTAGGTCTTGGTTTAGAAAACTGTAGATACAATTTGTGCTTCTTAAAAAGGATCCTCCTAACGAAAATAACAATATCAATGTTTCGAGCAAGGCATGAGATTTTGGCTCTGTGTTGCAACGACAATGAAAGTGTGTTTAGTAGTAGTTATGCAAGCAAGGAAGTAAAAGCCTTTGTGACCGAATGATTTTGGTCGAATGGTGGAGATAAGGCTGAGACACCAACATGTTTCAGGTTTGATCCTGGTCATCTAACATGGATGTGAACCCATGCCTTAAAACCTATTCGTGGACTGCACTTTCCTTTGAGAGATTAGTTTGAATCTTTCCATGGACCTATGATACCACCAGATTAATAAAAAAAAAAGTAGATGCCTTTGCTAACCCAGCTGAGAAAAATGTCTAGCGAATTTCATATTTGATTTTTTGTCTTGCTTACTAGAGCCAAGAAAGAGGTTGGCTATATATTTTCCTGAATTCTACTAGTTCATTCCAACAGGTTTCTATTGTTGTAGCTTCTCAACAAGTTGATCACTCACCCTTATTAAGATGAAGACATCTTCAAGCAAATGTCTTTTCAAATAATACTAGTTTCATAACCAGGGGCGAAGGCATGTTGAGAGATGTGGGGGCAAGTGCACCCATAATAATATTACTATTTATAATTTTATGTACAAAATCATTAAAATTTAGGTGTATTAGATGGCAAAAGTCAAGTTGTGCACCCCTAATTTCAAATTAAATGTCTACTAATTAACATCTCAGTTATATATTTTAGCATAGTGCACCCACTGAATAATTATTCTAGTTTCACCCCTGTTCACAACAATGATCTAGTCCAATACTACAAAACGAAATTTCTGGAAAAGCATCTAGCTTTAGTTGATTTGTTGTGTTGGATTTAGCTGAACTCTATGACCAAAAATCACACCATCTTGTAACCAACTTAAATAATGAAAGTTTTAATCTTGAGAATGGAAGTTTTATTTATTGTTTTGATCCATATTAAAATGCAGGGGTGATAATGTAAACATTAAAAAAAATGAAGACCCTATGTGCGTGTGTATAGTTGAGTTGACACTTGCAAATAAGGGTTTAGAAGTTAAGCCAATTTTTGCGTCTTGTGCCGTCCGTCGCCGTCGCCATTTCACTCACCGTCGTATCCGTTCACCATTGTAATCTTTCACAGTCTTCTGGAATCGAAAATTTCCGGTGAGTTTCTTCCTTTCTCACTACCGCATCCATCGAAACCATTACTTAAGTGTAGAAAAATTTTCTGATTTGATCGTGAATTCATATAATTAGGGTTTTGCTAGAGGAATCGAATCGGATCTGAGATGAGATGTGATAAGTTAATCAATCATTGCACATAAGGTCAATGAGTTATTTGTCTGTAACAATGATGCATTTTTGGAATTTGAAGTGGTGAAAAAAGAAAAACACATTTGCTCAAAGGAAAGATTTTTATGAAATGGTTTTGTATTAAATTGATTTACTTTGAATGTTTTATTATGTTTACGTTCTCTTCTTTGTTGCTTTTTGCAGATTCTGAAGAAAAAAATGAATTTCTTGAACTCAGCAGCTTCCTTATGCAGAAGAGTTAGCTTGAGGGAGCTCATCACAGAGGTTCCTGCTTACGGTGGCAGTGGCATTTCCGGTATAATATATTTACCAATCTCGTCTTTTGAAATCTCTCTGTGTTTGTTTGATGATTCTTGTCTCTTTGTGTTGTTTAAGATGGTTCTTCAAGTGGGTTGAGTTTGGTCTTTAAGCGTTGGGCTACTAAGAAAACCGCTGGTTCAACCAAGAACGGTCGCGACTCTAAACCAAAGAATCTCGGTGTCAAGAAGTTCGGAGGAGAGGTAAGAAAAGAACAACAAGCTATACTAAGGCTTCAGAGAATCTAACTAGCTATAGAATGTGTGTGTGATTTTTGTAGAATGTGATACCGGGGAACATAATAGTCCGGCAACGTGGAACTAGGTTTCACCCGGGAGACTATGTTGGGATCGGGAAAGACCATACGCTTTTTGCTTTGAAAGAAGGACGAGTCAGGTTTGAGAAGAACAAGATAACTGGACGTAAATGGATTCATGTTGATCCTAAGGGAGGTCATGTTCTTCATCCTATCTACACTAGAGCTGCAGCCGCCAAGTCGACTCAGTTGGAGACAGCTTCGTCGTCGTGAAAAAGACAGTGATTCAACAAATCTAAAGGTTTCTTCCTTTGTTAGATCGTACGATCTCTTTTGAGTAAAGGATGGTGGTGTTTTAGACCAGCAACTTTCAGTTCAATAACATCTGCTGTTTTGTTTTAGTCTTTGTTTGGTCAATGCATAAGTTCTGTTCTTCAGAAGATTGTCAACTTTTTTTTTCTGTAGTTTTATTCAATACTCAAGCCTCAACTTCTATAAAATCTTGCAATCAGATGTTTTCATAATATTTGTCTAACTTTTAATATATCCAAAACAATATCCTTTGCTACTATTATCAGCAAAAGAAGTAAAAAGAAGCAAATTAGTTTGTGTTTTTGCCACAATCTGAAACCGGTTAAGAACAAATTAGTTTGTGTCCGATTTTCCAAAGGTTCAAATTCAAACAAGTTGATTTTCTACTTGTTAGTTGACAACAAACATATAACTAGATTTTGACCCGCGCAACCGCGCGGGTGTTTGTTTTCATTTATAGTTAGTTATATAAACATTTTGTTTTCACTTGTAAATTGGTATATATTATAGTAATCACATATTTACGATATATATAGTAAATGTTTTTCAAACATAATAATATAATATAATATGTGTTTTAATCAAATAGATTGTTTCAAATTTTCTATATTATATTGTTTGTTAGATTATTAATTCATTTAGATAAATTAATATAAATAGAGCTTGATTAAATATTAGTATACTTTAATTTGCAAAGATAATATAAACTTCGAAAAGTTTTTTGCTAAAAACTAAACTTATAGCTTCATAAATTAATATTATAAAGAATTTTATTAAAATAATTTTTAAACAATTTTTTTTTAATATAATTTTTAAAATTTACATCGAAATAAATTTATCTAGTATATATAGCATGTAAATTTTGTTAGAGTATATAAATATTCCATATTACTAATCTGTGAATTTTGTTAATATATTGTGGATGCATTTAACTATTATTGACATATTTCCTTATAAATAATAGAAGATTCCTAAGCTTATATCTATTGACATATTTTGCGTGACTAACTTGGAAGGTGTAGGATAATTTACCAAAACCAAATTGTTAAACGTATCTTTGTTATTATAGATATCATTTTCCATAAGATATAATAATGATATGATTATTAGAGAATTAATGTAACATAACTTTCTAGTAATAGTCCATTTTTTTAAAAAATCACACCTGAAGTCAAGTCATGACTTTTGTTTTAATATATAAGATGAATCCTAACCCTTTGTTAAAAAAAAAAAAAATGAATCCTAACCCGATCGCAAAGCCCAATAGAATATATACGATGTAAGTTGGGCCAATATATTCAATTAGGTCCAGTAAAGACATAGATTTTAGGGTTTTAAGACACTTATAAATGAGTATTCATCTCTTGCATTTCTCCCCCGCGTGACCTAGTTTTCCATTACCGCCGTTTCTCCACTAAGAAGACGAAGCTATGGTTCACGTTTGCTACTACCGCAACTGTAAGTCTTCCCCCTCTCCTCCATCGTTTAGTTCACCGATCTGCGTAATGGTTTATATTCAAACGTACTGATAATAGATCAACGATTACTCTAAACCTTTTTGATTCAAAATAGTATATATCATTGCCTCTGTGATTCTCTTTGATATTAAGACAGATCTAAACATTACTGTCTGAATCTTTGTTGTGTAATAGATGGAAAGACCTTCAAGGGCCCACGTCGTCCTTTCGAGAAGGAGCGTCTCGACTCCGAGCTGAAGCTAGTCGGTGAGTACGGTCTCCGCAACAAGCGTGAGCTCTGGAGAGTTCAGTACTCTCTTAGCCGTATCCGTAACGCTGCTAGGGATCTTCTTACACTTGACGAGAAGAACCCCAAGAGGATCTTTGAAGGTGAGGCGCTTCTCCGTAAGATGAACCGTTATGGTCTTCTTGATGAGAGTCAGAACAAGCTCGATTATGTCTTGGCGTTGACTGTGGAGAATTTTCTTGAGCGTCGTCTTCAGACTATTGTGTTTAAGTCTGGTATGGCTAAGTCTATTCATCACTCCCGTGTCCTCATCAGGCAGAGGCATATCAGGTAATGGATTTACTTGTAACATTATTGTTCTTTGCATGATTTGTTAATTGTATTTGAATTAGCTCTAATATTCTCCGAAAGTTAATAGTGAAATATATAATTATAACATTTTATTACAGATTGGTTATGGAACCTCAAAGATTGTCTGTTTTGTCTTAACTATTCCTTTTTACTGCGCATTTTGTTTTAGTGTTTGCTTATTTTTCTGTGCCAAAACATTTTGTTGTTAGCGTTAGGTCATTCTACTCTAAATTAGAGCATTATTTGAAATTTATACCGAGCTGTGTACTAATGAATTGTGTATCATCAAACGTTGTCTATTTGTTTTGAAAACTTGTCTGAAATTAATTACTCTGAATCTTTGGTTTTGTCTTTGATCTATAACTAATAGTATTGGTTTTTATATGTACAAAGGACTATACCTTTTGAATAATTTTACTCAGTGACTACTTTTTGAAGCATTTTCGTTGCACATTTGTTGTCGTAACCTATTTACTCATCTCGATTTGGGTTTTGCTTGGCTATTTTGGCAGGGTTGGAAAGCAATTGGTGAACATTCCATCGTTCATGGTGAGACTTGACTCACAGAAACACATCGACTTTGCTTTGACCAGTCCCTTCGGTGGTGGCCGTCCAGGAAGAGTGAAGAGAAGGAACGAGAAGTCTGCCTCCAAGAAAGCCTCAGGTGGTGACGCTGACGGTGATGATGAAGAGTAAATCTAACTCACCGGTTTTTAGCTATGAAACAATCTGCGTTTTGATCATTTTGTAGTCTGGAACTTCGTTTTTGAAGGATTGTTTTATGCTTTTTATTTCTCCTAAAAGAGTTTGTTGAACGTTTTACCTCATCTACTACATTTACTCACTTTGTTTTCTTTTTTACTCTGAAATTACTTTCATTCAATGATGTTAACCAAGCATCTACCTAAAAGGGTACGGTTAATAAAAAACACCGGAAGGATGGCCAAGCATGATGATTCAACAGAGAATATGATGTTACTTTGTCTATATTTTTTTTATGTGTCCTATTTCTTTAGTTTAAGGCCTAAAAATGTTATTTTATACAAAGCTCATGATACCAATACTACTTCCACGACTTTGGCCCATAAGTATTGTATAAAGTAGAGGTGGCTTGTTTTGGCTTTTCAGTGTTATTGTTTATTTGAATCTGATCTCATGATCTTCATGTTAGTGATGTCGCAGTTGCATGATATGGACAGTGCCTAAATGTCAAATTGTTTACTAACACTCGGTATTTTCTTCACACACGTGTTATATGCCAAACCACGTGGACACCATCTCATCATAGTAAACAATTAATTCCAGGACGCCGTCGGTTATCGCCAGCGACACGTAGATGAAAAGGAAATATCATTAACCCTCGACTTGAGGCTAGAGCCAGAAGGCAACCAAATCAATCCCAGTTTTACACTTATCAAAACTTTCAGAATCGTCTTTTGGAATTTAATTATATATCTGCTTGCCGATGAATATGAGCCTTGTAAAAAAAAAAAAATATGAGCCTTGCCTTTCCCTGACCAATCATTCGACCCAATACAATGATTGTACTGTAGGGGATAGTTAGATCGCCACGTTAATATTCAGTTACTATGTTTCTTACTTTGATGATTAGTATGTTAGTAATTTACTTTACTATTATAGTTTAAGCAACATAGATCATTGTGTTACTATAAAAACACAATTGAATGATATGATATTTTACACATCTGCTATCAGTAATGAGACAATAACTAAAAAAAGAAAATCAGAAATAACCTACATCTGTACAAAACAACATGATGCTTATAAAATGTTATTCTTAAACACAATCTAAACGATATTTTGACGTGGGGAAGTTTATCGAACTGGTTTTTGGAAGCTGCCGAATAAAACGGCGCCAGATTTGGTCGTTTTCAGATCCGATTTTCTCCTCTTCCACACGTCTCACTTTCATCGGTCAAAACCACACACAGAGAGTTCCGGTCCCCACCATTTCTCTAACCGACCAGCTCATCTAATTCTCCACGTGTCAAAACATCTATGGTGTAAATTTCCTCGTGATACAGACACGTCAACACTAGCTCAGTATATAAATGAGGAAGCTCCGCTTCACATGTATTTCACAGTATACAATAAATTTCAAATTTCGAATTTCTTTATAAACGATGAGAGGAGAAGCTGATACTTGGCCAGAGATGGAGGCGGTAGCTAGGAAGATGGTGGAGGAGGTTGAAACAGAGAGCAGTGGATCATCTGAAGCTGAGACGGAGTCTCCGAGATCCGTTGGACGTTGGGGAGGTGCTTCGATCTTGGGGAAGACGGTTAAGGAGCGAGTACATAGCCAGGTTTTGAAGATCAAGGAGGAGGATCTCTGTGTTCTTGTCGAAGACAGAGCCGCGAATAGTAAATATCTTCGTGATCCACGTCGTCTTGGTTTGGTCTTGATCACGAGGCCGAATCTTCCATGTTCTCCTCTCAGTGGAAGAGTGAAGTCCGTTAACGCTGTTCAGCGATAATTTACAAATATTTTAAATTGATCAAGGTTCATTTCTCTCGCTCTCTGTTTCTCTAACAATTTCTATTTTTTTTTTGGTTTGTAACTTTGTTTCCTGATTGATCATGTTTTTGTATGTGCAGGTGATTTGATCTCTGCGTTTTCTTATAGTTTATCTGTTTTTTCTTCTCTTTTTAACTTTTTGTGTTATTTATGGAAAGTCTTATTAGAGTCTTTTTTTTTTTCTTGTCATAATGTCATGTGCATATAAACCGTGAATGTATATATGAGCTAGTGAAACTTTTTTTTCTTTTTGTCACAAGAGCTTGAGAAAGTTTATGCTCCACTTTTGTTACATATCTCTCGCGCTATATATATGCATAATGCATGTAATTGTCAACTTCATACTACCAATATGAAATTATTAATAGAGTTGAACATAAATTATTTTTTATATATGTTTTATATCTTTTAATAAAGAGAACATATAAAGGAAAAAATAACTAAATAATACAGTTAAAATTCACCCATGCCTACTAGAATTTAAGTTCAACTCTATTAACGAGTTCCAAACTTATCACGAATAATTTTAAGATCCCTACGAACATGTACAATGAGAATTCTTAAGAAGAAGTCCTTAGAGAAAAAATAATTAAATAATTAGTGGATCCCATAAAAAATTAAAGATTCAATCTTTAAAATCTTATTTTAAGGACTCTTTCTTACTGAATACTTAGATCATCTTTATCTCATAATCCCCACTTGTTTCTTATTTTCTTTTTTTTTTCTTTTTTTAACAAAAAAAAATAATCACATCAATTAATGGCAGGTCGCCGCGTGTCCGTGGAACCCGCAAACAATACAAAACACGCTTCAAATATGTTTCTTCTTTGGCAACAATAGTACACGGTTTTTGAGTTTTTTTTTGTGAGCCTCATGCATAAGAGACTCATCTTTTTTATAGGATAAATGTGCCCTTACACTATTTACGGATCTCCACGATATATGGGAATCCGCAATTAGTTGATATATATATATATATATATTTTAAATATGAAAGAAAAATAATTAAAAAATAGAAAAAAAAAACTTTAAGGATTCCAAGGGGGTTCAGCCAGAGTGGTTTAGTCTTCTGGACATATTCAAATGTATACGAATTTTTATTTGGGCATACCAAATTTGAACTTAATGCAGAATATATTACGGGTTAACGGGCATTAATTATCCATTAAACTTGTCATAAAATAGGCCCATGATATACAAAGCCCAACAAAACGAGAAAAATTTGATGACATACAGGCGTGTTCCGGCGCTGGCTTCGCGCGTCTCCTCCAGTCCATTTGTTGATGAAACATGCAAAATGGAAAAAATCCTTTTAAAAAGGCAAAAATATTTTGAATTGTTGTCTGAGCCCGGGTTCGAACCGGGGACCTCTAGTGTGTGAGACTAGCGTGATAACCGACTACACCACCCAGACGTTGATGACAACCAATCGTATATTTAAAGTCTCAACATAATGCTAACACTGATACGGTTGTGGTGAGATTGTTGCCGCCGTCGTGAAAAGTCGTTACTTACCGTTACGTTTCCTTTTCCAGTGACTTTTAATTTCTTAATTGTTTTGTTATAATTTGGGCCCTCCCCTGCTTAGTAAAGATCGAAAGAGCTTTTACACGGTTCCCCAAAACGCTGCGTTTTATTTCTTCTTCTTCTCCTTCCTCTGTACGCTTCACTGCAAAACACAAACCTCAAGACACTCGTCGAAGCTTTCCTTAATGGCTCTCTCTCAGGTACTCAAAAACGAAAACCTAATCTCCACTCTCTCTTCCAATTTCCCAAAATTAAACATCTCTTTCTCTGATTCTGACATCTCCTTTACAGGTCGCTTATCTGATCCCACTGAAACAAGACCTAAACGAAGACACTTCATCCCCTCGAATAACCTTATCCGAAGGTCCAAACACAATCGGCCGCGGCAGCGTTTCAATCACCGATAAACGTCTCAGCCGCAAACACATTACAATCACAACTTCCACCTCTGGTCCAGCCTCCTTATCAGTGGTATCATCATATCACCACAAAACCCTAATTTTTCTTTTTTTTTAATTTAATCGCAAAATCGTTTCTTTATATCAAAGTTTGTATCTTTCTCTATTGGGTAGGAAGGAACGAACCCTGTGGTTGTTAGATCTTTAGGCGAGAGGAAGAAAGTGAACCCTAGTGAAGAGGTTTCGTTAGCTAATGATGATGTTATTGAATTGATCCCTGGTCATCATTTCTTCAAGCTTGTGTTGCTTCCACGTTCTGGAGAGAGTGAGAGAGCGGCTAAGAAAGCTAGAAAGGTTTACTTACTTGGCCTAACTGAAGAATCGATCTATTATTGCTTTGTTTGATGTTGATGAAATTGTTTGTTCTAGGAAGGAGATGATGATGATGTAGAGGCAATTCGACGTTTTTGTCCAGATAATGAGAAGCTACCTTCAACGTTTCGGCTTTTGAGTGTTGATGGTTTGCCTGATTGGGCTAATACCTCTTGTGTTAACATTAATGATGTTGTTGAGGTTTGTCTACACTCCTACTGTTGTTTTATTATTTTGTTTAGAGGTTTTGACTTAAGAGAAACTTGTTGATGTCAGGGAGATGTTGTTGCTGCGATCTTATCGAATTATATGGTTGATGTAGACTGGTTGGTGTCAGGTGAGTTTTCTCATAGTTTAATTGTTTTGTTCAGATGCTGTTAACTTAACTTGGATCACGGCTTATATTCTTTTGTAGCTTGCTCGAAACTGGCCAACATTCCTCAGGTTATGGTCATTCATGGAGAAGGTGATGGTAGGCAAGAGTATATTCAGGTTTGTTAACGGTTTTGCTGATTTCTTCTTAATGATGTTAATGTTATAATCCAATCTTTGTTTTTTGTTGAATCAGAGGAAGAAGCCAGCTAATTGGATTCTTCATAAGCCTCGTTTACCTATCTCATTTGGGACACATCATTCCAAGGCTATTTTCCTTGTCTATCCTCGAGGAGTGAGAGTTGTAGTACACACTGCTAATCTGATCCATGTTGATTGGAACAATAAAAGCCAAGGTTTGTGGATGCAAGATTTCCCTTGGAAAGATGATGAAGACAAAGATACTACACCTAAAAGTTGCGGATTCGAAGATGACCTTGTTGATTACCTCACTGTACTTAAGTGGCCTGAGTTTACTTCAAGCTTACCTGGTCGTGGTAATGTCAAGATCAATGCAGCCTTCTTCAGAAAGTTTGATTATTCCAATGCTACGGTACCTTCTATCTCTCTCTCTAAAATCTGTTTGTATACTTACTGTTCACTAAGATACGCAAAGAAATTTTTAGGTTCGACTAATTGCATCAGTCCCTGGGTACCATACTGGTTCGAACATGAGAAAATGGGGACACATGAAACTAAGGACGATTCTTCAAGAATGCATTTTTGATAGAGAGTTCTGCAGATCCCCATTAGTTTATCAGGTAATGGTTCCATACCAAGAACGTGTAGAAACCCTTCTTAAAAGCCTTCTTTAAACAAAATTTTAGTATTGCAGTTCTCTTCACTCGGTTCTTTAGACGAGAAGTGGTTGGCTGAGTTTGGATCTTCTTTGTCTTCTGGTATAACAGAGGACAGAACTCCTCTCGGTCATGGGGATCCATTGATAATTTGGCCTACTGTAGAAGACGTTAGGTGTTCTTTAGAGGTAATCTTAAAGAATACATCTTTGCTCATTATTTATCTTATGGTTTTTTTCCTTCTAAACCATGACATTTTGTTAAAAAAGGGTTATGCTGCTGGTAATGCAATTCCAAGCCCGTTGAAGAACGTAGAGAAACCATTCTTGAAAAAGTATTGGGCAAAATGGAAAGCAGATCATAGTGCTCGCAGGTAACTTAAAAAACAAACAAACCTTTTTTGATTTCTACTCAGTTTTGATTCTTTTTTTTTTAATGTTTTCAGTCGTGCAATGCCACATATAAAGACGTTCACACGTTACAGCGACCAGAAGCTTGCGTAAAGTTCATAAAGTCTCAATCTTTTTAGTTACCCACTTCATACAAAAGTGTGTGCTTGTAGTAGTGATACCAGTGTTTTTATTTTGCTGCCATAGATGGTTCTTGCTAACGTCATCGAATCTTAGCAAAGCGGCCTGGGGAGCACTTCAGAAAAACAACTCTCAGCTGATGATCCGTTCCTATGAGGTAAACACCTGATCTTTTACGCAACCACTAACCTTGTGGCATTGACTGTGTTACATTTTTTTTTTAGTTGGGAGTCTTGTTCTTACCATCTCCAGTAAAAACACAAGGTTGTAATTTTTCATGCACCGACAACAACCCGAGTACTATGAAGGTAAAAAAATGATCTAAACCCGTAAACCAGGACCAAAACGATCTCTTTACTTAATTTGTGTTACGTTGACAGGGAAAACAAGAGACGAAAGGTGAGGTGGAGAAGAGGAGTAAGCTAGTGACAATGACATGGCAAGGAGACAGAGATTCGCCTGAGATAATCTCGCTCCCAGTTCCTTATCAGCTACCTCCTAGGCCATACTCATCTGAAGGTTTCTTTCGTTTTCATTCTCCAACTTAAGTTAACTGTTTCTTTCGTGGTGTTCTTAACATTTTTATTGTCACTCTGATTTTTTTTTTCAGATGTTCCATGGTCATGGGATCGAGGGTACTCAAAGAAGGATGTGTATGGACAAGTCTGGCCAAGATAGTTGGCTCTTATTATATTATGACTTGAAATTGAGAGAGAGAGTGGCTTTGTGGGTTTTACTCCCTTGATGTTTTAGAATCAACTCAGTTAAGCATGCAAATTAGAAAAATATTTACATTTTTAACTGTTTTAAGATAAAACATTGTTAATATATTCTACTTATATAACATAATCAACGTAAGTGAGAGAGATTGAGAGGCAAGCCATACGTGAAAGTGTTTCATTTTATTATGATAGGAGTCCGTCATTGGTTGGAAGAATCCTACGATTTAAATTCGAGACATAAAATAACGATGTAAAATAAAAAATAAAAAAAAATGAAAGAAATTTTGGTGGTACATATTCGATGACATTTAGAATACAAAACAGACGAAGACAAGCGTTCACAATCAATGTCTACATTTCCAAGAACACCCGTCCCCTACTCTCTTTGATGATTTTGATAATAAGATTCATAAGTCAATTACTATTTGACATGCTAAGTAAGTCTCTCGAATCTTGATAAGTGCTAATCATGATTTATTTATTGATTAAGAACATATCAGAACATGCCATGTCAGTATCCAAAAGAGTGGATAGTTGTATCCAGTGCCTTAATACTTAGGATATAACTAGCAGAAGTTTGAAATAACTTTATCTAGTGCTATTAAGCCATAGAATATGCACTAGTAGAAAAACTGTCCACAGCTACGATATTACTACGAAGATTTCGTAGCTAAAACGGACTAGCTACGTAAAATGCTACGAAATGTCACGAAAGAAGAAACGTAGCAAATCGAAGCATAACCGTAGCAACATTTGCTACGAAAAAGCTACAGTTAATAAAGTGGCAAAGTAATAGATACGTTTTTGCTACGTTTAGAAAACGTGACAAATAAAAGCTACGAAATTTGCTACGCTTATAAACGTGGCAAGAAAGAAATATAGCTACAACATGAATTCGTAGCAATAACGTAGCTAAGCCACCGAAAATTATGTCACACCAGTCCACTCCTGCAATATTGGCAGAGATAAAAACAAAAAAATATAGCTACGAAAATATTGGTAGCAAATTTCGTAGCATATTTTTATAAGTATGTCCCATCCTACTGTGTGGAAGCTGATAAATATCCGAAATAAGCTACGAAAAGAAACGTAGCAATTTGTGTAGCAAGGACAGTAGCAAAACGTAGCAAAAATCGTAGCATAAAGCGCAGCAAGACGTAGCAAATTCGTAGCAATGCTTTGTCTATAAAAAAAAAACACACGATTTCATTCGTAAACAAAGCGAGAGTTTCTTGAAACTGAAAAACGTGTGCGTGTGAGATAGAAGTAATACGAGTTCAATGTCGTATTATTTTCAAAATCGAGAGTGGATGGATCGACACATTGATCCCATCAATAATTGTGTTTCAAGTGAGTTTATGGAAGGTGTTGAAGTTTTTATCGCTTTTGCTTCGAATCAAAATTCTTTCATCGAGAGAAAAACTATGTTATGCCCATGTGCAAGATGTCAAAATCGAAAGCAACGTGATGCAAGACTTGTATCTCGCCATCTTTACCGAGTTGGTTTTACAAATAATTATTATGTGTGGTCAAGCCATGGAGAAAATTATTATGATGTTGGAGAATCATCGACGGGGGGGCACTTTATGGGAGAAGAAACAACCTATGCAGCAGAAGATACATATCAAGAGAACATAGCGGGAGGAGACTTTGGGTCGTCCCATATATCGGAGAGTGTGATGGAAGCTATGGAAGCACCCATTGAAGAGCCATATCAAGAAAGAGTGTTTCAAGCTTTTGAAGCCGCCAATCAACCACTATATGACGGATGTGCTGAAGGTATTTCTCAATTATATTTGGCATCTCGTTTAATGAAAGTAAAAACCGATCATAATTTGGCGGAGTCGTGTATGGATGAGATATCACAAACTTTTAGAGATGTTCTACCACAACCAAATATAGCTCCTGATTCATATTATGAGACGAAGAAATTGACGAAATCACTCGGACTCCCTGTTGTCAAGATTGATGTTTGTGAGGATAACTGCATGTTATTTTGGAAGGAAGATCGTGACCTGTTGGTGTGTCGATTTTGCCAGAAAGACAGATATCACCAGAACCATGGGAAGGGGAAAAGGCGTCCAAAACAAAGAATGTTTTATATGCCTATTACAGAGAGGTTGAAGCGTCTATACCAACAAGAGGCAACTGCATCACAAATGCGATGGCACGCGGAACATGTGTCTCCCGAAGGAGAAATGCATCACCCTTCTGATGCAGCAGCGTGGAAGCATTTTAACAAGGTGTATCCTAATTTCGCTACCGAAAGTCGAAATGTTTATTTAGGATTGGCAACGGACGGCTTTAATCCAGTGGGTATGAGCGGTGAAGCCCACTCTGTTTGGCCCGTAATTGTAACCCCGTATAACCTACCTCCTGGTATGTGTATGAAAAGAGAATATTTCTTTTTATCTGTATTAGTTCCCGGGCCAAGACATCCAAAGAAAAGCATTGATATCTATCTGCAGCCGTTAATTGAAGAGTTGCAAAGTTTGTGGAGTGACGGAGTGGAAGCATATGATATCTCGATGAAGCAAAATTTCACGATGCGAGCCGCATTAATGTGGACAATTAATGACTTTCCTGCTTATGGCATGATGTCAGGTTGGATGACTCATGGTCGTTTAGCTTGTCCATATTGTCTAGATGAAACAAAGTCATTTTGGTTACAACATGGAAGGAAACATAGTTGGTTTGACTGTCATCGAATGTTTCTATCTAAGGATCATCCTTACCGGAAAAATGTCCAATCATTTCGACGGGGGAAGACAGAAAATGATGATCCTCCACCATGGTTGACGGGCGAAGAAATTTTGCGAGAAAGAATAAACAACATCGAAGGAGTGCATCGAACAGCCGATTGTGGAGGAAATGGACATGAACTAAAGAACGAAGATGTTGACATTTTAAAAGAAAACATTGCGGTGAAACTTTGCAATTTGGAGAAGATTTTACCACCTTCGTTCTTTGATGTTATGGAACATCTGGCAGTGCATTTACCAGACGAAGCGGCTTTAGGTGGTCCAGTGCAATACAGATGGATGTATCCTTTCGAGCGATATATGTACCATTTGAAAAAGAAAGTTAAAAATAAGGCCCACATCGCTGGTTCCATTGTTGCACAATATGTTAATGAGGAGATTTCTACCGCTTCTGCAAATTTCTTTGGTAATCCACAAGTGATACCTGAAGTTTCACTGCCCGGAGAAGTTCGCTTTACATATCAACATCCAGAAGTGCCTACCATGTTTTACCATGAAGGTCGAGTTAGTGGAAAAGCTGAAGATAGATGGCTAACCGATGAAGACTACAACATCCTCCATACTTTTATGATGCTCAATTGTGAAAAATTTGAACCCTATGAAAGGTATTTCGATCATTTTTATATTTATCATATTTCTATAATGTCAATTAAAAATTATAATATTTTTCAACAACCGGACAGGATGTTTGAGGATTTTATGATGGGAAGATATCCAAATATGAGTAGTAATGATCTACAAATAGCGAAAGACCAAGGCTTTACGAAATGGGTGAAAGATTATGTGAGTTTTATTATTATTTTAATATCAATATGAAATTTAAATTTATCAATTATAAATAAAAATTTAATTAACAGGTTGAGGATGCAAGTAAATCCTATGAGTTTCCGTTTTGGATGATGGATTTTATACAAGGTCCGAAACGTAATTATAAATCTTGGCCGATTTACCACTCACGCGGATACTGCTTCCACACACATAGCCATGGACAAGATAAGAAAACTCAACATTACGGTGTTCAAGTTCGGGGAACCACAAACACTGACTATTACGGGTTGATCGAGGAGATAATAATGGTGGAGTATTTTGGTTCTGTTGGGCTCAAGGCCATGGTTTTTAAATGTAAGTGGTTTGATACAACTGTAGGTCGGGGAGTGCGAAAACATAAATCAGGAATTGTTGATGTGTCTCCACGCTGGCAGTACGAGAAATATGATCCATTTATCTTATCGGGTAATTGTGATCAAGTTTGTTTCATCCCTTATCCGCGGGTACGACGTACATCAGCAAACGATTGGTGGGCATGTACAAAAGTTATGCCTAGAGGGGTTCGAGAAACATCTGAAGATTCTCTTGTTGCGGTACAAGATGATACACATAACCAAATTGTTGCACAAAGCGGGATGTTGCGCATTGAATCGTATGTTGTGGAAGATGATTCAGATTATGAATCGACGCCAGTTGTTCCTCCTAATGATGAATATGTTTCTGAAAATGAGTTAGAAGAGTCTTGTACTGATTCAGATTCAGATTATGATTCAAGTTCTTAGTAAACTTGTTTGTCCATGAAATTTAATAAATTTGTAATATGTAATAAGTGAAGTTTTTAGTTTAAACTTTCAACATTTTACTTTAACACACAAATTTAATTAAATCCTAAACCATAACTAAATTTAATATCCTAAACTTTTAATTAATATATTTAACATTTTATAATTTTTTTTTATATTTTTGTTTAAAACATACACATACCCTAAACCCTAAAATATATATACAATATTACTAAGAATATTAATACAAATTTAATTAAATCCTAAATCATAGCTAATCTAATATCCTAAACTTTTAATTAATATATTTATCATTTTATAATTTTTCTAATATTTTTATTTAAAACTTACACATACCCTAAACCCTAAAATATATATATATATATATATATATATATATCTATATAAATTACAATTCCCACCAAAAATTTCACCTAAAACATTTTCCCTCTAAACATATTTCCCTCCTAAACCCAAACACACATTTCCCCCCTATTTTGGCCCAGCCCAAAATCAACAATTAGTTAAATACACTGCTCTCTCTCCCTCGCCGACAAACAAAGTAAAAAACTAAACGCAAAAAGTCACTCTGGTCTCTCTCTCTCGTCGGTTCCTTTTCTCTCTCAGACTCAGTATCTCTCTCTCACACAGCCCGTTCAACATCGATGGCTCCTTCCACTGCAACCTCAAACCAAAACCGTCGTCGCCCTCGCTCTCCTGAATCGGACCCTCCAAGTTAGTTAGCCTCTCGTCTCTCTCTCTCTCTCTCTGAACCTCTTTAGTTGTTAATGTCTCTCAAAACCTCTCGATTACAACTTCAACTTAGGTTAAGGTTTCAATTTCTAGGGTTTCGATTTAGGGTTTTTTCTAGGTTTCAGTTTCAACTTGATTTAGGTTAGGGTTTTGATTTCTAGGGTTTCGATTTAGGGCTTTTTCTAGGTTTCAATTTCAACTCGTTTTAGGTTAGGTTTTCGATTTCTAGGGTTTTTTCTATTGGTGTTTTGATTTCAAATTTTTAGTTTTGGTTTCGATTTATGTTTATTAAAAAAAAAACATACCATTCATCCACTGTCTTCTTTGGTTCCTGAATAGGTTTTTACTCCTTGTTTTTCTGTCTACAGATTTGCGACACAGGAGAGCTCAAATGCCCAACACCTCGGGGCCTTCTTCTATGTCTCCAGCTTATGTTCCTGGAGCTGTACCTCCTGGAGTTGTACCTCCTGGAGCCAGCCCTCAAGCAGCAGCGAACTCTTCAACTGCAGGGTCTGCGGCTCCTGCCCCCTATGTCAGGAGAAGAGAAGATGCTATCCTACGTGCTCCATCCAGACGTAACCAGCAACACCTCCATCCTGAGTTGCTCAATGGAGCAATATGGTTAGTTTATAAATATTTTTTAGTTGTCAAAAAGATATATAATTATGTAAGCATTATATATTTATGTACATTTATAATTTAAACTAAATAAATAGGTCATATTAATAATATATAGAGTTCAATTGTATTAGTAGGTTGTGTAGAGTTTGATATATTAATGTTGTTTGATTGCTTATATTGTCTTGTCTCAGGTTCGGTGTTCATCCTGAAGTCCATGATTTTATCCGAGCAACATGGCAGGGAAACTACTGGGGGCCGTGGCCAAGCTGGAAACACGTTCCACAGGAGAAGACTGATATGTGGTGGCATACCTTCATTGTAAGTGGTTCTTTCTATCTCCTTTTCCCTTTCTCAACTCTCAATTTACTTAGTAATATTTACTTCTAATGATGATTTATCTTCTTTTGTAGCAACAATATTACTGGGAAGATAAATTTCATGATCTAGTCTACCGGAAATGGAAGAAACAGACTCAAGTGACCATCTGTGGACGCATCAGCCAGAAGAGGATTCGTGGGAAGCAGCCTAAGTACATCGGTCCGATTGACTGGGCAACAATCCTTAGGGAGTGGGGCACTGACGAAGCAAAAAAAAAGAGCAAGTCAGCAGCTGAATCTCGCACTTATGTGCCTCCAGGGAAGGAGATTTACAAGCACAGTGCAGGACCTCGAACCTTCTTAAATATTGAGTATAAGATGGTAAGTTTTTTCCTTAATTATTTATCACTGAAGTTTTAGTCTTAACTGTTGTCTAACTTCCTTCTGTTTTTTTTTTGTAGATGATTGATGAAGGTTTGGATGAACCACCTTCATATACAGCCCTTGTGAGGAAGACTCACACGCGGAAAGATGGTTCCTTCATCGACCAACGTGCTGAGGAACTGGTGCTAGAGGTTGAGCAAGCCGTTGAAGAAATGATACAAAATGGATTAACTGGTGACAGTCAAAATGACTCTACTGCTGATACTCCAACTTCAAGGCGCCTTCTGCTCAACCAAGAATACATCAAGGTAATTTCTCACCTCTTCATTATGTTTATTTGTTCTTACTTGTTGAATGATGAACTAGGTTGTAACGTGTTATGCTCGTAATCAATATACTTTTAGTGTTAAAAAAAAAGAGATTAATTGATTGAGATAGGATAAAGCTTGTCTTAGTTAGTTATTGAAATTTTCAGTGGCTTAGTTAGTTACTTAACTTGAAATAGGATCTGGTAATTTTTTGCTTATGGTGCTTTTTCCTTTCATTTTGCAGAGAGGACTAACCCACAAAGGCACCATCTATGGCCTTGGCAGTGTTCAGTACAAGAACGACACTCCTTCTGTTCCAGTTCAGGTCACACTGCAGCGCAACCTGGACGTGGAGATGCGCCTATGTAGTGTGGAGACAACTGTTGCTGAATTCAAGGCTGAAATCTGTGGTATGAAGACTGAGTTCAAGGAGGAGATGTCGGCAGCAAGAGCAAGTATGGACATGATTCTGCAAGTTCTCCTATCTCAAGGTCTCCAGCCTCGAGTTTTCGTTCCTACTGCCTCAACTACACAACCAAGTCAACCTCAAGCTCAGCCTCAGCCTCAAGCTTCCATTCCTACTGCCACAACTGCACAACCAAGTCAGCCTCAGCCTCAGCCTCAAGCTCAAGGTCAGTCTCATCCTCAGGCACATCTCACCACTGATAACCAATCAGACTTAGATAGGTGGTGCCAAAGAGAACTTGGTGTGTAAAATCTGATGTTTCAATCTTTTGAACAATGTTTTTTGGTGTAATATATTTGCTACTCTTTTGAACAAGAGTCAAATGTCTTTTGATGTAATATATTTGCTTATCTTTTGAACCATGTAAAACTCCTGCTTTTATGTAATATATTAAGTTTAAGATATTTGCATAATTATTTTTATTTATAGTATAGTACAATTGCATATTAAATATATTCATATTTTTTTTTTAAAAAGTTTTAAATTAGCCACCAAAATTTGCGTATCAAAAAAAGTAGCAAAAAGTTATATTTGATACGAAAATAGTCGTCTCTAAAAGCGTAGCTAGTTGCCACGAAAGTTAGCGTAGCATTTCGTAGCTATATTTCTGCTACACTAAAATCGTAGCATTTCGTAGCAAAAACTGAGCTACGGACATTTCGTAGCATACCGTAGCAACTTGCTACGTTTTTTGACACGCTGAATTCTTGCTACGCTCAAATAGCCACGTTTTATTTTCCGTAGCTTTTCGTCGCTTAGTCTCCATATAGCTACGAAATTTGGATCATAGATACGAAAATTAACGTGGCTGTGGCCAAGTGTTTTACTAGTGATGGGCATATATATGCATATAATATCAGTTTTTTCTCATGCCTCATTCGATTCTATGATTTCTAAGCTTTGGCAACGACACTTGCAATTCCAGTTGAATTAACACACACATGGAACTTTTTTGTAGTTTTCCAAATAATTTTGAAACGAAGGAACCAAACAAAAAAAATCCACTGCAGAAAGTTGTGGCGAAAGCCGTGACTCGTGAGACCACCGATTCTACTATTGATCTACTGATAAAAGTTTGACAGTACTTACCTACTTCACCTGTAAATATTCCGTAATAATAACATCAACATTTTCTGTAACCTACACTCTTGTATATATCATGTAAAATTTGTAGCACTTCACACTTTTCAAACAAAAGGGTCGAGAGTGCTACAATCTCGCAATTGTTCTAACTAAAAAGAGAGACAGAATAAACCAACATGGGGATTTTGATGTTGTTATCTAGCTACCGTAACAAGCAAAGATAGAGATACAAAAAGCGTCACGTGGGAGAGGGGCGTGAAGGATGGGGATGCTCCCTGATTAGAGGGAAAAAAGACTGTCATGTCATCACATGGGAGGTTAAAACTTGTTTTTAAAATTAACTTCAAAAGTATTAAAACATAGATAGTCCCACTTTTGTGTGCTCATCAACAAACATTTTTCTTTAATGTCCAATTCATCACACCATCTCCTTGTTTTCTAAATATATAGCATGCATCATCTTTCATTCATATTGTTTGCATATCATCACCCATTACCATGTGTTTAGATATCTAGCAAAATAAATGTTGACTAGTGCAAGTTTTAGAATCACCTATCTTAGAAAATGTTTGAAGTAAATGGGTTCAGTGATGTGATGAAACAAATATCTCAAGCATACACACTAGCTATTGAGTTACACACATACACACGTGATAGAGCTTGGACTAAGAACAGCCCCTCCCTAGTGGTTAGGCTATAGATGTCGTTTCGGTCATCTCAAATTACCTAGGTGAAGTCATTGTTGTTTTTATTTACGCATATGGCCATATCTATTAACTGATACACACAATCTTCTTGGTTTTACGCATCATCGCTCGAATATATTACTGATTATCTCCCTATTATATACACTAAAATTAAATATATTTTTTTATTTTAGAAAAAAGTATATCTTAAAATAGAAAAATCAAAAAAAGAAACTTCTAATAAACTCTCTCTCTAAAAGTGGTCCTATCCTCTATATATAACATCATTTTATCTTCTTATTTCTTCTCCCCATCGTTTGACAAACACATCTTCCTAACCCACAAGCGAGAGAGTGTTTCGTGGATACATATACTTGAAAAATATTTGAAGTTAAAAACCAATAAAAATGTCGTCTAGCAGAAGGTCGAGACAAGCAAGCTCAGCATCGTCGAGGATTAGCAATGATCAAATTACTGATCTTATCTCCAAGCTACGACAGTCTATTCCAGAGATTCACCAGAACCGTCGTTCCAACACGGTAAAGTCTTTTTAAAAGTTATATATAAACTTCTCTTTATATACGTAAGTTTGAACTTTATATGTATAATTTTTACTTAGGTATTTTATTGTTTTTATTTGATAGAGAAACTCGTATATACAACATGTTGGAACAGTACATTATAGCATATAGTAATTGCATGTGGGAGAATGAAATTTGAAGTTTTTAAAAGACTTTTGACCATATTATCCGAACTTTGAGGAGAGGGGAACAGATTTACCCTAACTTCAGCATTAAGCTAATTTTAATTAATTATTTCACTTACAATATTGATTAATTGCATTGAATTTGAGACAACTATGTTGCTTCACGGACTATCAATTCAATACATTTATGTACAGCACCGACTTATTATTTTCGCATTATATAAGTTTCTATAGAACAAGAAAAGGACGAATTTTAGAAAAAACGAAACAGTCCGGTTTCTATAAATGGAAACATCATTATCTTTTAGTACAAGTCACTACTTCTATTTACCCTCAATGACAAAAATGTATTTGATAAAAAAAAAGACAAAAATGTATTTATTTAGTTAAATTTGATAAGCTATGAGCATTATCTTAAGCTTTATTTTTATTATTACAAAATGCATCATATATATTGCAGTATATCTGTATGCTATAGTAATACAGATCTCGAAGTGTTTTCTTCACATTAGTTATTAAGATAATATTACTCCACGTTAAGACTTGTTTTGAATACATAGTTTGAGTTCTGACGACAACTGTACATTCTTTAATATATATAGGCGTCATCATCGAAGGTGTTACAAGAGACTTGCAATTACATAAGAAGCTTGAACAAAGAAGTCGATGATCTCAGTGATCGTTTGTCCCAGCTTCTGGAAACCATTGATCCTAATAGCCCACAAGCAGCCGTTATTAGGAGCTTGATTAATGAATAACTAATATATATGTTGATTAGTTGTACTTTATATATCATTTTACAATCTCGTTGCGAGGCTGACCCATCAGGGTTTGTGCTTAATTATCTTTTATATGTTTTATATATAATTATTACAAGTCTAGCTAGCTAGGGTTCTTACCCTCTTCTGGTTTACTATCATGCATGCAAAGCTTTAAATATAATAAATTACATCTTCAGCATATGTAGTTAATCGTTTTATATATAGATGATGTGTGTTCATTTGTAAATCCTTTTTATATGCAGATGAAATATATATATATATATATATATATATATATATATATATTTATTTATATATATTGGACAAATTAAATGGGAGATGCATGGTTTCTAATCAAAATTCAAACTAATGTTGAACATGTACACGAGATTTTGCAAAACTAAAAATACTATTGTATAATTAATATCCTTTTTGACATTTTTCATATAAATTAAAAAACATTAAAACACATTTATATACTTAATAATTACATCTATTTAACCAATAATGTCTAAGAGAAATAAAACTATGTATAAAATCAATATATTTGATAATTAATATTAAACTTACAATATGTATAATTACATTTGAATTCTAAATTGACATTTTTGTAATAAAATAAAAGTGTTAAAGTGATAATCTTTAAAAAACAAAAGAGAGTACATATTTACAGACAACTTAAATCAAATAAGGGGTTGTCGTAATTTATGAGATGTGAAATATAATGACGTTAATAACTAAATTTGTCTGAGAATTGGAATCACGAGCCTCAAAATTTGCATAGTTAATTAGTAATTAAATTACTTTCGCGCATTATATGGAGTATTAACAAGTATATGTGCATTCGACAAAAAAAAATGCATCTGTATATATAAGTAGACATAGTGTAGCTATAATACTATCTTCCTACAGTTTTTCTGAACTTGTGAATTTCGATCTCTTCAATCTATAATAATGTTATTTGGTAACTTCTTTCAAATCAGTAAAATAAATTTACGGGATGCAATTTTAAAGTAGTCAAACGGGTTGAAACTGAAAACATTATTTTGTAGCTTAACAACTAACAAGAACTCTACCAAAAATAGTTTCAATAAACTACAAAGTCAAAAGGTTCATGAAAAGTAATGAACTAAAAGTGTATAGAATCACAACTTTATGAATCAATGATCAAGCTTCAAATAAAATGCTCTCTTATTAATGTCAAAGAAACTAATTCAAGACTTTTCTCACTCACATAAATCATAAATTATGTCACACTTGAGTAACAAATATCTCTTCTTTAATTCTCCGTGAAAAAATGCGGTCTTAATGTCAAGGTGGTGTATCTCCCATCTGTGGGTTCCTGCTAACGCTATGATCAATCTAATGGTTTCAACACGTGCTATTAGAGCAAATACTTCATCAAAATTCATGTCATGTCTTTGTACGTATCCTTTTGTTATCAAAAATATTTTGTATTTTTTTTTCAAAAAAATATATAATATTTTGTATTTGTTGATTGTTCCACCAGGCTTGGCTCTCATGTCAAATATTGAATCACACCATTATGAATCAAAGATCAAACTTCTATATAGAATGCTTTCTTATTAAAGTTTAAGAAACTAACTCAAAACTTAAGTTTTCTCAATCACATAAATCATATGTTATGTCACACCTTGACATCATATCTCCATATATAGAAATATAAAATCCTAAACATAGTAGACATATGATGAGTAGATAACTCATAATCATCAAGAACTTTCCTTATTTCCTAAATTTCTGGTAGGAAATAGATAGCTTGATCCTTAAGGTAATTCAAGCTTATCCCAACAAAGTGGAGTTTTGTTTGATTAAGGACATGGTGTGTTTTAAAAAAGAGTTTAATTAAGGACACAGATTTCAATATTCATCATCTAAAACAATTCTGGATTTCGACATAAACCTGAGACCACACTTCCTTAATCATACGCTCAAATTTAGTAGGTTTTAAACCGGTGGTCAAACTAAAAAAACCTGAAATGATTTGTCCACTATTTACATAGACTACTATCGATTGGCCATTATTTTACTGTATTACTAGCACGTATCTTTGCAATATGGTTTGCTTTATGCATGACAGAGGCTGTGGATATATTTTCAATTGTAATTGATATTCGAATCGAAGTTATAAATTCGTACAGTAAAGTTGGTGGTGCGAAGGGATGGCTCCTTTTATGGTCCCTTTCAACTGATACCTACATTAAATTAATATGCTCAGAACAGTTTTTAGTATGTATGAATATTTGATAATAAAAAATGTATGGATATCCAATTTAGAATCTCTGATTAAAAGGTTGAGAACTGATCATATTGGAATTTTAATGGTGACTACATCTACACAATTGAATACTAAGTTGAACGTTAATGGACATAACATCATTAGTATCGATAAGAAACTCATATAGTTCCTCACCAATATATTTTATTATTAAAAATATTTAATCTTCATGTATTGAGGGAGTTTTCACAAGTGTTTGAAAAATATCAAATGTAAACTATTTTGTTCTTCTTCTTTTTAATTGGTAAGCTACACTCTTAAAGATTCACCAAATGCTAGTATTCTAAGTAAGACACAAGAAAACAAAATTTCTCTCTTAAAATATGCTAATTTTCTAAGTAAGACACTGAAAAAAAAACAAAATCTATAGTAGTATATATTATTGAATTAATAGTTTCAAAACAAATCTATACGTAACTGATGGGTCATGAAATAGTGAATGTTGCTCTACCCTACAATTTTATTGTAACTACCGACATAATTGTTCAAAGGAAACATCTAAATCTCTCTTCATCTTTTTGTGATTTAGGAAAATAAATAATAGCAAAAACAGACGAGTGAAAAGAACAAGAGAGAAAAAGGGAGAGATGAAAAGACTTTACATCACGGTTAAGGTCGTTATCACTGTTTTACGGTATTGTCAAAAAAGCCACTGAATGTAATGTAGCACCTCTTTGTCTTTTCCCGCGTTATTTGACTTTCAAGACCAAATTTGTTTTCATAACTATATAATAAAAAAAAAAAACTATATAATAAAAATTAATTACGATAATTCTTTTTGTAACTGTAATTACGACAACTTGGATGAGCAAATGTAAGCTTTTCAATTAACGGCATTTATCTTCCATATGTTTCACTCTATTTGTGGTTGTTTAATATCGCACTACCAAGAAAAGGAAAGAAATATATTTTGAGGACATATAGCCTGTCTACATTGCTCTGGGCTACAGAAGTCATAATTTATTAGTGAGTCATAGAGTCTCTCAAGGGCCCAAATAAGTAGGCCCATACGTTTCGCGCGTAATTCAAATGTAAATAAGGAAATAATAAACACGTCGTCATGTTCTTTTTGTTGACGTTCAGTAGCTAAAAAAATTATGAAGGTGAAGAAATACAGTTTTAATGATCTCGCAGCTAAGCACTGAGGAGCGAAAGTAGCAGGCTCATATATAAAAACTACGAATCTGAATTTAATACATGTTTTGTGTGTGTACATGTGTGTGTTTTTTTTTTCTTTAATTCATCCCTATGTATATCTTGAAAGTGGTAAATAACATGATTGTACTCCTTCCTATGTACTCAAAGGAAGTTCATTATCTTTCCGATAATCGTTTAAACGCGACCCACTCTAGTTCTAGATGTTTTTGCTTACCGTATGAATAATAGTTGTGAAACACGAACATATCGATTTGGTTTTGGTTAATCAAGATAAGAAACAAGATGATTAACAATTATGCAGTTAACTATGTCAATAAATAACATTCAGAAAAAGAATTAAACAAAACTCATTTATTATAAGGGATCTCTTAATATAATGAGGTAAATGTAATTTTTGGTCGGCCTTCTGTTTGCCCTCGAGTTGATTTTTCAGTCTCTACTATTTTGTTTGATGGGTTTCGTGCTTGTCTGGTATTTGGTGATTGCCAGTTTCTTTGGGCGTAGGCTTTGTGATCCAGATGGAAAGGAATATATATATATATATATATAAATGAAATAAATAAAACAATCAAATATTTTTTTAAAAAAAATAGAGAGTGGAGAGTTGAAGTGTCCCAAGAGGCAGAGAGATGGAAAAGAACCAGAGCACATGGGAGCAGTGGAGCTAGTTGGAGAAGCTTCAGATCATATATTTTCTTATATTAATATCTATTAACATTCAATAATTTCTGCAACAAAAGCATATTGCCAATGAGGATAGATAGATAGCTGCTACTACTCTCAAATCTTCCCAATACAAGCATGTGAAAGACCTTGTTGTAGGACAGGTCTGTGGCACTATATTGTAGGACCTTTTCTTAAAATTTATATTCAAAATACTATATACCATACACTAACAAATATAAAATTTATATGTTTTTATACTTGATATATACTGCAAAAGCCACCATATAGATATAACAACTGGCAAACATTAGTGGTGGGTCTTATATCTTTCGCAAATACCTTAGATACTGATAAAAACTTTTTTTTTTACTGATAAAAACTCTTAGTTGGAGTGGTTTACAAAATATATCAAACTCAATTGTATTTCATAACAAATTTCATCGTTTATAATTTAACCAAAACTCAGACTATTTTTAGTTTATTTATGAGAATAGACATATGTATCCTTAGACGAATTTTGTAGGTCAAGTACAAAAAAGATTATTTAAAGATAATTTTAGGCTGTAACTTTTTTCTTTTTGAAAAAGGGCTTCCATTTTAGGTTATAACTTACATGTTTGATATAATTGAGTTACCACTGATTATCATAAATCTAAATGATATTAAAGATTATACGTTTGGTTATGTTAAAAATATTTAGAACACCATCAACCGGGAGTGCTTATTCGGGTGTCTAACACTTTTAAAAAGAAAAAAAAAAGAAAAAAGAGGAAGCATTGGTGCTTAAACAAACACCATAAACACTGGTGCTTAGAGACACGTGGTGCGCTGCCATTTAACAGTTTTTCTTTTCAAACATTTTTTTCTTCAAACATTTTTTTTCTGAAACATTTTTTTGACATCCAAATATGAAAATAACCTAATTACCACCAATTTTTTTTTTTTTTTTTAAAAAGGGGACAAAATAACATCCAAAGATGAAAATTAATTTTTATTTTATTTTTTTTATGATCAAAATGACACTCGAATATGAAAATGACCTAATTATCACCATTTTTCAAATGACCAAAATGACACCCAGAGATGGAAAAGAAACAAAATTACTTTTGTTTTTGTTCATTCTTTTCTAAAACATTGTTTTTATGACCAAAATGACACCCAAATATGAAAATGACCTAACTAGCACCAATTTTTCTTTCGAAAATGACCAAAGTGACACCCAAAGATAGAACAAAAAGTTTTATCCTCTAAAATACTTTTTTATGACCAATATGACACTCAAATATGAAAATGACCTAACTAACATTTTTTTAAATGTTCAAAATGACATCCAAAGATGAAAAAGAAAAAAAAATGTTTAAATGTTACTTTTTATGTTTTATTTAATAAATAAATTGTATCTTTAGAAAATAATATTTTAATTTTTTAAGAACCCCAAAATAAGAATCTTCTACTGGAACACGAAAATGTTCGGGGTGCTTAGCGTCACATTTTAAATCACTTTTACAACTTAAAATTATTTAGAAAATAATAAGCTCCTTAGAACATCCGCAATGGCGGATCCTTGGGGCGAATCCTTAGGAAAAAAAGAAAAAGGGTATTTCGGATTATATAAGGATATTTCAGATTTTTTCTTTATAAAAAAAAACTGACCACTCATAGACCACCACGTGTGCAGTGGAGCCCATGAATAGTGTAAGGATCAATCCTTACATAATGATCTTTAGGATAAAATCCTTAACTGTTCATGGGACCCATTAATTATAAAATTAATATTTCTCTAAGAGCATCTACATTGGTGAAGCCCCCCATGGGGTTCACCAAAAAAAAAAAATTGATTTTTTTAATTTTTTTTTTGTTTTCTAAAAAAAAAAAAAAAAATTCGGACAAATGGGGTGCGCCACGTGGCGAACCCTATGTGAACCAGGTTCACTACCATGAACCTTTTGGAGAGAGGTTCATCCAAATAGTATTATTTTAATTTTTTTTTCTTGGGAAAGGGGTGAACCTCCCTTAAGAAACTCTAATGGAGATGCCCTACGGATTCCCCGTAAGGATCCGCCATTGCGGATGGTCTTAATTTGGGGTTTTGGGTCGATGGTGATCTTAGATCACGTGCAATGAGAACTCTTAAGGAGTCCTTAAGGAGTGTGGAGCCAATTTTCTTAGAATTTGTGTCAAAAAGAATGCTTAAAATCCTTTGGTAAGGATTAGTCCTTACACTGTTCACGGGCCCCCATTGACCACGTGGCGGCCCGTGAATAGTCATCTTCTTTTTTTTCTTTTTTTTTTAAAACTCCCAAATATCCAAGATTAATCCTAAAAGTCCTTGTCGCTAAGGATTCTATTGAGTCTCACCATTACACATGTTCTTAGGTCGGTGCATGGTGTGAACGCCTTACCTGGTGAAAAGAACACACATGCCCGTTTAGTTGTACTCGGAATGTTCTTCAAAAACCAATGAGTGAGCAATTTTATTTTAAAAACGACATTTTAAGAAAATTCATATAATTATGTGACAGTACGTAAAAACCTATATATATATATATATAAATTATAATCGGTGATCTACGCACTACTATGAAGTAGCAAACTTTTTTTTTAAAGTACAAACCTTATACGTACAGATTACAGTTAGATGCTCTTAAAAAAATAGTACGTTAAATATTCGTGTATCATAGAATACATGATTGATTACACCTGAAAAATAAAAGTCATAGTCATTTCTGTTAGTATTGATGACAATCTTCCAAAGGCTACGCCTATATTCGAGGATTAAGTGTAGTGCGTGTCATCATTTTCTTTTTTAGCAGATATTCCTAAAATGATTAAATGTTTGTAGTACTATTTGTTACGGACATGAGTAGATATAAAAGTTTAGTTATCTCAGTTTATTTCATTATATACTGTCTTTTTTACTAATCTATAGAAGAAATACATATGTAGCTGAAACTCGAAATCTAACAGTGGCTATTAGGATAGTAAATGGGTATAATCAATTTATTTGATAATCTCAGATCAACTGTTAGTTGGTATCATAGTTGTATATGTGTATGGTGCACACAGAAAAAAGTTGTACATATGTATAAGCTAAGCTGTATCTAGTAGCACAAAATTAACAGTGCATAAAATAATTCGAAAATGTATGTACGTATATGTCAAAGATGCATGTGGTATCTAAATATTTAAAGTTTTAAATTTCCAAATTGTCGTATACAAATTAGATCAAAAGAAAGATCAGCATATGCCCTAGAGCCTAAATGGTATAAAAGGGTGGGTCCTATACAAACATCTCATGAACTGATCTCTTCGTCATTCTTCTTCTCTTTCTCACAAGAAAACTTCAAGATCCTGTGTTGTTAACCTTCAAACAAGTTCTTGATCTAAATCAAAATTTCTAGGAAGAGTTAATTAATCATTGATGGGATTTGTGCGTGTTTAAGATATACGTTTATATATGTATATATGTATGCGGAGGAAAAAAACAATATTGTTAATAGTCAAGAAGGATTGAGATTGGAGATGGCCTTTCCACAGCATGGATTCATGTTTCAGCAACTCCATGAAGACAATGCTCATCACTTACCTTCTCCTACATCTCTCCCTTCTTGCCCTCCTCATCTCTTCTACGGTAAGTACCTCTCTCTCTATATAAATACACAATTGCACATGTATATAATAGTACGAAATTGTAAAAAACAATTTTGGTGTAGGAGGAGGAAATTACATGATGAATAGATCAATGTCGTTCACGGGAGTATCAGACCACCACCATTTAACTCAAAGAAGCCCGACCACAACTAACATGAATGATCAGGACCAGGTGGGAGATGAAGACAATCTATCAGATGATGGGTCCCATATGATGTTAGGAGAGAAGAAGAAGAGGCTGAATTTAGAGCAAGTTAGGGCATTAGAGAAGAGCTTCGAGCTAGGGAACAAGCTGGAACCTGAGAGGAAGATACAGCTTGCTAAGGCCTTAGGGTTGCAGCCTAGGCAGATTGCGATTTGGTTTCAGAACAGGAGAGCTAGGTGGAAGACAAAGCAGCTTGAGAGAGACTATGATTCTCTCAAGAAACAATTCGATGTTTTGAAATCGGACAATGATTCTCTTCTAGCCCACAACAAGAAACTCCACGCTGAGGTATATTTTTAAACACACAAACTAGTTATACTAGCTTTTAACACGTAATTTCTAAAAGCTAACGACTTTTGATCAGACTGGTATGAATGTGTAACACTAAAACCCAAAATATGATATGAAATTTGTAATAAGCCACTAAACTATGAATATAATTAGGTTCTTAGTAGTCTATATGATGAAATTATATAATTATGTGTGCTGATAGTTTATAGAATTTTAGTTATGAACTATTATCATTCATCAAACATATAGTAAAAGAAAATCTTCAGAGACTAACACGTAGTTAGCGATCTTAGAATGGCTTAAAATTTTGTAATATACTCCATATGATATGATATAAAATGTAATTAGATTGTTGACAGGCTCTTGATCCAACGCAAAGATGTTTGTCAAAAAGCATCGTTATACCTTATTTTTATTTATAAATAAATATTCTTGTGTACATACATTTTAAATTAATAAAAACTCCCATGTGCCTATGGAGTTGACATACGATAAGATTTTTATTTGAAATATTAATAAGACCCCTGCGAGAATAAATTTCTCCACAAACTTAATTAAGTTTACGTGTGGTGATATTGATACACAAAACAGGTAGTGGCATTGAAGAAACAGGACCGTAAAGAGTCAGGAAAGATCAAGAGAGAGTCAGCAGAAGCTTCATGGAGCAATAATGAGAGCACGGAAAATTATAATAATAGTTCAGAGGGGTTGAAAGATCTTTTCCCTTCTTCAATTCGATCTGTGACAACGAGCACGACCTCGGCTCATATTGATCATCAGATGCCACAAGATCAAGGATTTTGCAATATGTTCAATGGTATTGATGAAACGACGTCGGCTGGTTATTGGGCATGGCCTGACCAGCAACAACAGCATCACAATCATCATCATTTTAATTGATTATATTGTCCAAGAACAGCATCATAATCCTGATCAACATATCATTACCATCGTCAAAAGAAATCGTTGATTTTTTAATTTGAGTATTTTTGAAATTATTTGTTATTGTTTCAAATGATATTACATTGTATTTTTACTCTTTTCCTGTTTATTTTGGGTTTGTAGAAAGTGGGTGTATAGAGGATATTCAGCAATTTTTAGAATGATAATTTCTTGTTTAATAAATGAAATTTATTTTTGGTCTTCCAGAATATTTTTGGAGATCAAGTATAATTTCTTCTTTCTAAATGATCCTAATTAATTAAAATATATAACTAGAGATTTTCGCCAGTATTGATTAAAATTAATTGCTAAGTTAATATTGTGACGAAGTTGAGATGCATATTTGTTAAAAATTGATTAAAAAAAATCAGATGCATGTGCTTTCGAGTGGGGTTCCAGCTCTGTCATTGACAGGTTGACACAACATAAGCCATGAAATTTCTAATATCGAATATTTTTCCATCTACCTTTTAACTTAAATCATTATTTCGGTAAAATTTCCAATTAGTAATTCGTAATGTATTACCTTGACTCTTGAGCATAATGTAGAATATTACAAGAAAAAAAAGAACATGTAATATGGGAGTTATTATTTGCACCAAATGTTAACAAAAAATAATAATATGGAAGTTATTATTCGATAGTAGATAATAATGAATCAGTGATAATGGTAACTGGTAGATGAGGAAGAGCACTGGAAGCACACATTCCAAAGACGAAGAAGAAAGTCCAATAAGAAAACAGATTTCAAACAGTGTTTAGGAGAATCATTCATTCATCTAGCTAGCTTTTCCGATCTTGGGATGCTTTTGGGTTTGTTTTAACTATATACTAAATTGCAATATTCATATATTTTGTCATTATACAAGAAAACAAACTGTGTACCGAATATTTCTCTTCTTTGTGGGCTCTCCATGTGACCTCACTGCCACCACCACTCCACTTCCCATAGAAAACTCAAAACTTGCGATTGTGAAAGTCTTAGCTTAGCCGCAGAATTTATACGTTTATTTGTTTTGAACGCACACAGTATTCGCACTACAAGAAAACAAAGCATTTACTAGGAAATTTTATTAGGAAAATTCTTCCTCGTAAATTTACTAAGCCTTTACTAGGATCTTACGAGGAAAGCAAATTTCCTCGTAAGCTCCTCGAAACCTTACGAGGAAACAATTTCCTCGTAAGACCTTAGTAAATTTACGAGGAGCTTACGAGGAAAAAGTACTTTTCCTCGTAATGCCGTAGTAAACACTTTCCTCGTAAAGACGTAGTA